GTACAAACTATAAAAAAGCATCTCAATTAAATTCTTATGGAAAGTTGTTATTTAATAATAAAATCAAAAGAAAAGGGAAGAATTTTAAAATAATTAAAAAACAAACGAAAAGAAAAAACTTTAAGCTTAAAAATAATGGTGTTTCAAGCTCTTTAAATGAAATTAAATTTTTAATGGACACCAAGGGTTCCACGTTAAGTGAAACTCAAAGACGACAGCAAATGCTTTACAATCAACAAATTGAAAGGTTTAAAATAATCCAGAAGCAAATTGAAATGCAAACAGAAAAAAACAAACAAAACAAACCACCTACAGAGAATAAAAATGAAGTTGAAAAGCACACAACCAACGCCCACCAACCTAGAACCGGCACGAAACTAAATGTATGTGAGAAATTACAAAAGATGTTGGAAGGTGGTGGGAAAGACAATTCCTTAATGGAAAACACTTTAGAACAGGAAAAGTTTAATTTCACCGCGAACCAAGTACATGAAGATATTAAGCCTACAGTGGGTAAAAATTTAAAAAGTCAAAGTAGTGACCCTGTAGTCATGAAACTCGATCCCCCCGGTATAAAAGCGTGCTCCGATTTTCATATAAATCTGGAAAATTATAACTTTACTCCTTATCTATATCATTATATTCCTATTAGCGAAATTATAGACTCCACAAGTAGTATTATGCCCATGTTGCAAAGATATGACCAATTTAGCGATTTTGTGCGTGAACTACAAAGTTCAATGGTAAAGGACCAGGACACCATTTTTAATCTTGAAGATGAACGATTGTTAGCCAATTTTTTATTTGATATGAAGGAAACAAATGTAAGCAATTTCGATGCAGGTAAACTAAGTTTAGAAGTAAATGGGACTTTATTATAATAAATGTGAGAATAACTAATCTTTTATTTTTTTAATTTCATTTTCATAACAATAAGGCATACAATTCTTAAAGTTTAGATAAATATTTTCTGCTATTAGTCACAAAATTTTGAAAGTTATTAAAAATTACATTTTTAGATTTAAAACCTGAAATAAATAGTTATGTCTTGCATTAGAGAAAGAAATGCGAAAGGTAACTATGCTTATCAATCTATTTCTAAAACCGTTAAAAAAAATTCGACTCGTTATTTTACAATAGGTAATTACTAGTATTATTGGACATCCTCATCGTATTTAAATTCAAATATTTCCACGATTATGTGTAAATAATTCAATAATTTGATTAAAAAAAAATTAATTTTTTAGAACTTAAAATTTTAAAAAGTTTTAATGAAATTATCTTAAATTCTTTGAATCTCTTCTAGATGAGCTCGAAAAATTTAGATAAGATTAATAGATTTATAATGCCATAAATAGAAATAAAAGAATGATGTAATAAAAAATAATTCTACATTTAGCAATTTTTTTAAAAAAAGATCAATTGATTATTTTGTTACCAAATTAAGATAATGTTATCTTTGTTATCTTTGTAAAATTATACTATTGTTACTAAAAAGCTTAAAAAAATTAAAATTACAGTTCCATTAATAAAGTTTAATATTTTGAAATTTATAATTATTTATTTAAAATATTTTCGTAAAGTCATTAACTTTCTTTGTTCAAGCTGACTTAATTTTCGTCATAGGGCTCTAACGAAATATATAAAATTTGCAAAAAAAAATTTTCTAGCTTTTACTTTTTTATTAATAGAAAGTAGATTTATTATATCAATAAAAAAGATTTGAAGTAAATTTTCAGAGTTACATTCATATATAAACATAATCAGTTATCTTATTAAATTTACAAAAAATTTTTACGAGTATATAGAATTGTTTAATAATAGTTAACAACCTTCTAGAGAGTTTGGTGTCATCAGGTAAGGTGTCACCTATAATAGTTCAACTGAATTTATATAAAGTAATAGTTTTATTTTAATAAAAACCACATCACAAAAACGACAAAGTAAAATATCATTTTTGACTATTACACTTCCAAACTTTTAAATTGCATGGTCTCTAACATACATTATTAAGTTTAATTAAACCCGTTTCCTCTTAGCAACATTACTCCACTTCTTACGACATTATATTAAATGCAACGAAAAGTCCCAACTAAAACTTTAATTTGGTAACGTAGACCTGATCTTTTAAAACTTTTATCTTTTCCCTTCAATTTTGTTTACCACTATTTTTTTTGCAAAACGACAAGATATTCTAGCATACTATAGATATCTCTGGTTTTTGTAGCTCGGTAAACTTTAAAGTTTTAAATTAATTTTTTTCTGCATAAAATTTATAATTTTTATAACTTTATATTTTTTCTTTCCATGGTCGTTTTATATCTCAGTCTATTATTAAATTACTTAAAGAAGGTCAGAAAGACTGTAGGGTACGCAAGTTGTTCTAAATAAAATGCATTCACACTAACAAATGAACACAAATAAACACGTAACAAAAGCACGACTGTGAGTTTTTCACGACTTAAAATTCTAGAAATATAAAAGTATTAAAAGACTTATGGTCTCTGGAAAAAGCGTACTTTTATCTATCAACCGTAAAAATAAGCAGGGAAGAATTCACCTAAAGGTTTTCACTATTTAAATTGGTTCAAGCGGTTTAACGCACTTAGTATTTCATGTAATACCCCCAGGTTTTTAGAAAAATAAAAAAAGGGAGGGTGTGACCTGAAGGTTTCCCTCTTAAGTCTGAGTGGTCTTTTACTAGCCAGCCAAATGACATCAGGTCAAGTGTCCGTGACTCTCTGAAAGGTTGTTTTTTAACTGTTTTTTTTTAGCCTTTCCAGTCATATAACTATTTCGGGGGCGCCATGAACCTAGTATGCGCCCATATTATCATTTTCATTGGATATTATGTTATATGCACAGATGCATAAAAATTTTAAGATTTGCGTTTTTAGCGCTTAAGCATATATTTAAGGCTTTTAGCCTTAAGGTGAGGGGGCTAAATCTGTTAGTTTCTTTATATAAAGCGCCTATCGCATAGTTTTTCTTTAAGTTACTATTGCTCCTACATCCAATTTCTAAGTTCTGTTTCTTCTATGGGTTGCATTAGCTGTGCTCTTTCTCTAAGAGCTCAGCTCTGTTAACTATTATTGTTCAAGGTTGATTTGTACTTTTTGTTTATTTCTCCTTATTATATAAAGTCTTATAAGTTCATCTTTGGGCGCTTATTATCGTCAGAGAATCTTACGGTCTCCAGAATCGTAATAGAGCGTACGCGGGTGTGCACTCGTGCCTTGGCTCCTCTTGAAGAGGGGAATACAGATTAATCCGTTTGTAATCTGTGTGAAAATCAGCCATAGGATGCCAGCTTCAAAAATAGTGACTTGAGTTGTGTTTTTTCTCTTCGTGAGAGGGCGTTATTCATTTTTATAATTATATATTAAATAAAGTTATATATATTGTTAACAAAATTTTCTGGTTTCATAACATTTACCATCTTCATAGGTGTAACAATCTTCCCCGCTTCGTTACAGAGCAAGTCTTAAAGACTGGCCTGCAACGAGTTTTCTTTGCATATTTTTTTTCTTTTAATTTGGAATGATAGTTCTTAACCTCCGCTTCGCATAGCATAGTTCTTACGATTAAACTATAGCACTAAAATATAAATAACAAAAGAAAGAACAAAAGAAAGTCCAGAAAATATTTAGTTAAATTACGTCGCATTTATCCGAAAGATTGTAAATCTGAAGCGAGTACGTCGTATTAAATATACGCATCTCTGCGCTCTCGCATATTATTAACACGTTCATAGTTAAATTTTATTTGACTCTTACATATGTGTAAATGCAACTATTATATCTTTAACTTTTAATTAGCTTCACGACATGGAGTTCATTTAACTGAAGTGTATATAGCTAACAAGAAAAAACCACAAAAAAACTTAAATCGAAATTAAGGAAGCGTCGGAAAAGTGCGTTTAATTAGGGCATGTATTAGAGTTTAACAGAAGGTAAGCAAAAGAAAAGCAGAGTTTTTGTGCCCAGTAGCATTTTGAATGACGACTACCCGTTCGCAAGCAGCGAATACTAAAGTGTTTTTTGCGCAGAAAATAGGGCGCGCAAAGTCAGTAGCCTCGGCAGCTTGAGTAGCTATACTTGCAACACTGCCACAGTCGACGCAGCGTTAACGCCCGAGCGAGTGCGTAATAATACTATGCTATTTGCGCATTACTTTTGTTAAATTTCCCACCCGCCAAAAAGTTGACGCTTAGGGAAATTATTTATTAAGGTATCAAATCCTAACAACTGTCTTGAGCTTTGCCGCGACGTATGCGCCGCGTTGACGGCTGTCAAGCATACTGACTTATCCCACGGAACTAGTGCACTCGATAGAGAAATTCAGAGACTTGTATCGAATTGTAGAGTTTTCACGAATTTTATTTTTTTTCTTGATAAAATATTACGGAAACAATAATAGTGCAAGGGCTTCTTTTAAAAACATCTAAGTCTAGGTAGCCAATTGACACGTCACCTAAAAGTCCTAGGACTGACCCATAGTGGTCCCGTCTTGTAAAGAGCCCTTACCGTTTTCAGTTGGTATCAACCTTCACATGAACTGTAAATAGTTGATAACATTTCATCCGTTAGTTATCAAATTTTGAAATATTAGTGACTTAACCTTTGTTATTTTTATAATAATGGGAAAAAAAACCTCGTGCGTTGAATAAGCACCGTTTTTAATGGAAAATAATACAGTTCAAGTTTAACAATGACTTAAAAAGTATTATAAGGAATCTGCTCTGGCGAAAAAACCGATTTGTAGGGTGTTTGCTGGGTTGAACGGGGCGTTACGGACACCAATGATGCTGAACGCTTTGGACACCCAAATAAAAGAAAAAGACAGTTACTTTAAAAAACCTCAAATAAATACACAATTGTCGTTGGCGATCAAAAAATGAAATTGTGTGAGTTAGCTGAACACTGCAAGTATGTTAATGTAACGTGTAAGCTTTAAATTTTGCATGAAATTTGGGCAGGAGAAAACTTACTCTATTCCAAACGGGCACCGCGTTTGCTCACAGTGTACTAAAAACAACGTGTTTATGATTCGAACAGTTGTTTAAAGCTGTTCAAACGAAATAAAAAGAATTTTTAACTGCGGTATGTAATAATGGACGAAACCCATTACATTTCAGAGTCAAATCGGCAGTTATCTGAGTGGAAAGCAAAAAATAAAAACTGTAAAGGTTATAACCTGCGTATTATGGGTGTGGATAGCACAATATTTATCGGCTAGCTACCTTAAAAAAAGGTAAAACCTTGTATAGTAAATATCATATAATAACACTATTGGTTCCATTGAAGGAGGAAATTACAGAAAAAAGGCCCCATGTAGTGAGGAAAAAAAGGACTCTTCCAGCATTAAAACAATGCACCGTGTTACAAGTCGATAGCTACGATCGACAAAATTGCATGAGCTGAAGTTCGGTATGATTTCGCGCCCGACGTATTCTCCAAATTTGACCCCAGCGACCATTATCTCTTTGCTAATCTCAAAAAACTGTTTCAGGAAAGAGATATGGATCAAAGGAAGAAGTCATCGCTGAAATAGAGACCTACATTGAAGGCAAAAACAAAGGCTGTAAAAGCTTTGGGCTGATTGTATCGCTCTTGAAAAAGGTTATTGTATTATAGAGGTTTAATTTTGCAAAAAAAGTTTTGTTTAATTAGTTAGTCCCGGGACTTTTCATAAGTGTTAAAACATTAATTTATGTACAAAATAAAATAAGTACTCTAATAGGGTATGCATTAACCTTTTAAAGCGGAGCTAAAGTTTCCCTTTACATTGTTTAAATTAACCATGAAAAAAGCATTTAAGAATTCTGGTTATATAAATTTAAATGCGGAGTAATCGGTAAGAAAAGTGTACAAGAAATAGGAATAATTAATTATAAACATTCTACACAAATTATTACACGACAAGCCTGAAAGACGTCAATGTCCTTTAAAGCAATGATTGGCACGCTGGTCGTAGTAATTACAATTACTAGCTTACTGACCACACTTTAAAAGTAGAGCTGCTTTAACGGCGGCCACCTAGACGTACATATAAAGCTCATGTCCCCACAATCTGATGATTCTGATGGATATGATTTATCTAAGATATCAGGTGGTTATATATGTTTTTTGGTTAATTTGTTAAACTCTCTACAATTTACCTTAAACGCTAATCAGAGCACACATATTACTCAGAATCAGAAAAGGAACGCGCTGACGCCAAAAAAGAAAGTCTAAGTTAGCTTTCTTTAGTTAACCTTATTGTTGCCTTATTGTTATTAATATTGGTCTTTTCGTTTTTAGGTGAACTCGTGGAAACTACTTTTGTTTCTGAGGAGAATAATGATGAAAGAGAGGAACTAGGTAACTATATTTAACAACCGATTAAATTTTTTTTGGTAATTTTACACACCTTTTGTACTTTTAAAATTTTAAAACATGCTACTGTTTAATTATATTTTTTATTTTTACTTTTTATTGAACAATTTAATCTATACTTTATATTATCAGTTTCTTATTCCACAAAATAAATTACTTTGCCCCCAAATTGTTACTAATATTTATGTATACCAGTCATATTCTATAAAGTGCACTATTATATAGTAAATATATTAACGCTAGTTGGCAATATAACTACGAATTTACTAGTAAACAGACTTTGGGAAAAAGTTCGTTCGACGAGCCTTCATACTTCACCGCCGTTAGCAGATCCTCCACTCTCCCATTGCCACCATCACAGAGGAGCTACTCACCTACAAGAACCACATAGTCCCTCCTCCTTGCGTTATAGTCAGGAGGAGATGGTCTCACTGATGGACCCACGTAGCGAGGAGGAAGTGATCACGAGGGCCCGCTTTTTGACTCGCCTCCGGACACTCCTGCTCGATACCCAACGAGAACTTGAAGAACTGCACATCTTGCACTCGCCCAGCGGGACTACCTTCGAATCGATCGACCTTATAGAGGGAGACAGAATAATTGTAAGGCCTATATGAAGCCTCCAATTATGTCAAGACTAACCCAAGTCTATCTAAGCTTGACCCCGACGCATGTGCTCTCCTTTTTGTGTTTTCCATCTGGAAAACGCGTGGTGTGCCTGAATTAGTCGCACAGGTCAATGGCCGGTGGCCGGTGATGTTTTCTTTTAAGTTTTGTGATATTATTGTTAACTCGAAAAAACTGCACTCCTCAGAAGAGGTCCTCATTATGCTTGCCGTGTTATTGTTACTCTTTTAACTGGGAACTTTTGGGGGGGGGGGTCTGCTTTTGTAGTGCACTTCCTTTTGTCAACATTTTGGAAAGGAAATATTTGGAAGTGAGGAGGACACTATGAAGTTTCTAAGGAAACACGCCACCATCGTTGTTTCGCTTTGCGATTCCGATCGTATCCTGGCTCAAGCGCGTGCTTTCTTAACTTAGATAACTTTTAAGCTCTACAAAACTTAATTTATTGTTACCCAATAGCCCTCCGACTATCCAGTCTGGTTGGTCTTAATCAAAGTTATCAGCTCTCATTGGTCCCTTTAGATAGTAATACAATTATTATTGGGTCAGTGCTTTCTTATAATTTAGAGAATAGAAAATGCTTGCGAACTCGTGAAAAAACTGAGCTGCAGTGTACTTGTCGGGTGCTGCCTTACAAATCCCTCACAACCTCAGTTTAGATATTCTTTCGATCCGTCTTTGGTCTCTCCAACGCTTGGCATACTCTTTAATGAATGTAATGGTAATTATATTAAGGATGCGCATCGTTTACGGCGTGAAGTTAAGGAAGAAAGAAAGAGAGACAGAAAAGTATCCTTTTTTCTTATGTAAAATTAAAGATTTATTATTATTATGAAAGAATGTCTATGATGAAACACGTGATGGTTCTTTCCGCAATGACGCTGCATTACTCGCTGGGCACGGCTTCTCCTCTCTGTAAGCTGGTTGCATGTATGCGGCAGTCACTCTTTAATATAAGTGAGGGCAGTAGACAAGTCCGTCAAAGAGACAAACGCCATGTGAGTAAGAGAACTGACTTAGAGGCCAAGTAACACGTGGCAATCCTTATTGTATATAAAAAACTTTATGTAAAAACAATTTTTTTTTCTCTTTAAGCTATAAAATGCTTGCTGAAAAAAATAAAGAGACACTGCTGCTTTTGAAGGAAAAAGATGAAAAGGTCTACTGTCCGCGAAAGTAAAACGCAACTTGCAGTGATTGGTTTTAACCCTATTAGATACACCATCTAATTGGCTTAATGGCGGATCAGAACAAGAGAATGGACGAATTAGAGAGTCGCCTGGCTGCTATGGCTGACGAGTTCCGCATTTCTAAAGCACAACTCGAAACTGATAAAGTGTTTATCAGCTCTACTATAATTTATTTTTAAGAGCATTCTATTGAGTTTTTCTTTTCTGCTGCGGAGCAGGCCAAGCACAAGACAAATTCCATGAAGTTATATAAAGAAAACCAAAAGTTGCACCGGCACGTATTGAACCTCGAATCCAAACTGCGTTACTTTGATCGGAGCTTCCTGCCGCAAGGCGCTCCTGTGGACTACGTGGGCACTTTATATTATTTGAAGCTTTTTTTTAAGTTCTCTTAAAAAACTGTCTATTCAACAGCGCCAAATGGACTTAAAAAAGTTGAAAGACTTTAGGAAGTGGCTCATCCAGCAAGGTTCAGTTATCATGTGTTTAACAATATAATAGTTTGTTCGTCATCTACTATGTTTAACATTCCTGCACGGCTACCAATAGTTTTCAATAGCATTATATAATAATTATAACAGGCTCCCCCGTGGACGACCCTGCCATTCTACAACTTGACAATCATATTAAAAATGGAAGCTAAAGCTTATCATGATATATTAATACCCTCAAGCGATATTTTTTTTTAATAATTATTAAAAGAAAACACTTCTATACACATTTGGCTTAAATTTAATAAAATTTACCTTTATAAAAAGTTTTTCCTCTTAAGGCAGTAAAAATTGCTTTTCAATCAGCACATCCGTTTTCTTCGGGACGCAAAGTGCTTTATTCAACGCTTTATATTACCAATCAGCACAAGCGGTAGCCCTTGAAATTTTCTGCAAGTCGCTATTTGCTATGTTCGTCATACACACCAATAAACTACTAATAAAAGAAAACTTTGATATTTTTAAAGTAAACTACGCTTGGCAAAAGGCAAATTTAAACTATTTATCCAACTAGTTATAAATTACTTTCACTGAGTCGTGGAAAATAGATAACCATAACTTTATAAACCATGTAGTGGGCAGAAAATATTACATAGTGAGGCAATCTTTACGACCTTGTGCAAAGCTATTCACCCTTAAGCAGAAAAATAAATATAATTTTGAGGAAGGTTCAGCTCTGTTTATTGCAGCCCACTATCGGCTTTAACATAGGAGGATAAATTAAGATAATAAACAAACCGAATAAAATAGGTAATAATAACTAATACAAATGTAACGCACTATATAAAAAGTATAGAAACCTGTAATTTACACATTTTACTATAACAATATGATGCAAAGTTAACATTTAGCTCCAAATCTGACGTATGCGGCTCTACCTCTTTTTAAAAGCTCGAGATTCGAAGTCTGTTGGCTCGATCGAACACGGGGATAGCCATAAACGAATCAAAGTAAAGTGGAGTAAAAAGCGCCACAATAACTTTGCACTAATATAATTGCGCATATCGCTTTAGAAATAAAAATTGTACAATGTTAAGTTTCCTGTTAATACTCGCATTTATTCCAGTTTCTATAAGGCTGATAGAGAAGGTGGTGTTTCGTACAGTTAAATTAAGCTAAAATTCGAGTTCATGCAAGCTCGACAGTTGCCTTTCCCGAAAAAAAGCCGGTCGTTTCCGCTTAGTAGTTTCCACTTTTGCTCTTTTATGGGATCTGTTCTCCTCCTCTTCGGTATCCCTACAAGTGTAAGAAGGCGTGACTCCCGTGAAATGTTGCGGACGTGTTCAATTCAGTAGACCACTTTACTCGCTTGCAGCAGCTCTCAATAATCTTCTTCGCAGTGTCCCAGCTGAACCTCACGATAGTGGGAAAGCCAAAAACCTCATCAACATTCGCTCGGAGCCACGCAATGGTGGTTGACGCTGCAGTTGTAACAAAAACCAGTCAGGCAACCCGAAAGACCACGTGGTGTTGCGTATTTTACTGTCGAATACGAGCACGTGATACTAGCTAAAGCAAATTCTTAACAAGCACATGTCATGAGAAGAGACGAACTATGAGAAATCATAATACAACACAATACAACAAAGTTAAATTCCTTTTGGAATTTTTTAATCTTATTTTTTGAATTGCCAACATACGTCATTTACTAAAACTACTTATCGAGAAAGCTAAACAAATAACTCTAATTAGTGAACTAAAATAATTTACACATGTTCTGAAACGCTTTTTACAGCGTCTCTACTCACGTTCTCGACAGCTTTATCACGAATGAATCGCTTTTTGGAGGTCTCAAGAACGTTAAAAGGATAAATTATGTTTTTGTGGACAACAAAGAAAAAATCAATATCACAATTAAGCATAAAGTTTGAATAAAATCCTTTAATTTAAATAAATGTTTAATGAGGAAGAGAATCGTTTATAAATGTTTTGTAGTTTGCATGACTAGGACATGTTGTAGCCTTCTATACAGGTACAACTCTCCCTTTATTAAATAAATTTTTTTAAAAAAAATATTGGAAATTAAAAATAGTTCTACTAAAAGTGGGCAACGCGGATGTGCCCTTGCGGAGACATTTTTTTTAAAGAAAATATATATTTTATCCAAAAATATTTAAGTAAAGTATGTAGTTTCCTGTTTTGATATTATAAAGGAATGAAGGTAATTAAAATATAAAAACTTCAGACTTGAAAGTAAACTTGGTTTAGTTAAACTTGTTAAACTTCGAAAAATACAAAATCTAAGTATAGAAAATTGAGAACCGCTCGGGTAACCTGGACCAAAATTTCTATCCTCTTTAGGTAAATCTTCCGAAAATTTCCATTCTCGCAAGTATTTATCTCTGGTAACCTAAAAAAAAATGTTTTGCTAATTATTTGGTGAAAAGCAAAAGATTAATTTTAATAACTATTATTTTACCCATTTTTTTATATTAAGTTTTTCGAGTAAATAAATAGTACTCATCTATGAAAGCGTTGGGATTTTAATTTTGACCAAATTTATGCCTCAAATATATTTAACAAAATATGCAAACTTAAAAACTTTATAACATATGCTAGACGCGCTGTCTTTTAAAAAGGTCAACGTTTAAAAAAATCCAATCTCGCCCAATTATATAAGAGAAACAAACAAAAAAGCTTAAAAAAAAATTCCTAAGATCTGCTAAAGAAATTACTATTATATATAATACTTTAGCACAGATGCTAGCCCCGCTAACAATCGGATATTTAGCATCTGCTTTAGTTTCCACAATAAACTTGATTTTAGGGAAAACCTTCGTATATATGACACTTTTAATAATTATTAAATAAATTTCTTCTATAAAATAAGAATATTTCCGGTTTAATTATTTTTGACTAAATAAATTTAAGGTAAGGAACCTTTCTTTTACAAAGTAGCTACCTTTGAGAGTTTTTCTTGATGGGTTCCTGGTGGGCCGAGAGTGTCCACGTATACGGTTTTCAAACTAACGTCTTTACTTAAGGTGTGCTTAATAAGTTCAACAGTAGCATCAAAAGCCAAAGAATTTAAGCTAACTTTGTCCCTTTGAATTAATTTATAGTATATACAAAAGATTCACAGATATATTGCTAAACGATTTACTTTTGCAACATTTTGGCAGAAATGTCTAAAGGAGAAATTACTGTTGCTGCCCATCCTATATACTCTGTGATTTTTATTAGTTTAAATAACTTTTCTCTCTTGTCTTCCTTTATTAACTTTGAATCTGAAAAGTTTTAATTAGTAAGAGGGAGATAAATGGTAAATTTTTATTAAAAAACCGTTTATGCTAAAAATCCAACAACTCCGTTTCTTGTGAGTAATTAAAACTCTTTACCATTCAAAAATATATATAATTTAGCTTAGACCTTTAAAAAGATATATGTAACTTCTGGCTAAAGCAAAAGCACACAATATTAATTATTAAGCTCAAACAGTGAACAACACAGAAGAAGTAACATTTTGACCGCTTTCTCGATATTGAACTGTGTTACCAAATAATAGTAAATAAAACAACCGTTAAATTTAAGTGAAGTTAGCTCAGTGTTTTTTATAATAGGAGCGAAAAGGACGGCATATACCATAGGCCCTAGTAAGTTTGATATGTTTACATAATATTTATAATATAAAAACTTGTACCTAAAACCGGACCTCTTCCTGCTTCATCTATGCCCAAAAAACAATTTTCAGTCTTACAAATTTCTGGGATAGAGGACGATATAGTAAACGTCCTCATCATTGCTTTTAAGCGTGCAGAAACAAAAGCACAACAACTACGTGAGCTTTTTGTATATATAAAAAACTTAGTGGGTTTGAAAACTTTAATATGCGGGCTACAAGTTCGTTATTGTAACATGAGCATTATCAGTAAGTACCTACTCTAAGTAAAGCAAAAAAAGGCCACAGCTCAGTTGTAATGCTAAATAGAGTTCAAAGTCACTTGAGGAAATTCTTTGAAGTTGGAGAAGAGAAGGACGTTTTCAGTTTAATACTTTTGAATGGTCTTAACCAACTTTAACTTGCGTTACCTTTTAATAGTTTTATTATTTTTCTTCTATCTTATATACTATGTTAAAAAGGCACTGTACTACTGTACTCCTTTGCTTTTTGGCTCTCTCGGCTTACCATTCCGTACCTTTTTCTTTCCATCAAAGGTGAACTTTTCACAAATACCATACTCAAGCGCATTTTTTTGGAATATTTTTACTAAGCAAGCCCGATTATTTTCGGTTATTATGAAGCACTGTACGCCCTCATTCAACTTCTAGGCCTTCGAATTAGTAAAGAAGTCTCCATCAATTGTGATACAAAACTTGCCTTACAGGTAAGATACTTGATTTCTTATCGAGATATTTTCAGATTTTATCAGCGTTTATATTTTATTTTATTTATCGGTTTAAATTAGTTATATTTCTTTGCATTTTTATTTTACTTACTTTATTTATTTTGTTTTTTAAATTGAACTTATTGTACTATAATTTCTATACTACAAAATAATTTGACTTTTTTTTGTGAGGTAAGCTTGGAAACTTGGGATTCCTTATAAGCTTTCTACTTCTTGGATTCTCCAAAAATCTCCTTCTTCTCTTTTGTAGTGCAATTCCCTTGTTACTCTCTCACAATCTGACTATTTCCCGGAATCTTGCAATTATTTTGTCCAAAAGAGAAAGTACCTTTTTTGAATCTTTTAAACTTTCTATCTACTAATCTCTTCCTTTTTATTAACGCTTTGTATGTAACGTTAATATATTATAATTTTTTTAATTTTTTTTTGTTATTTATAACATCCGTTGCTTTACTTTACTTCTTTTTATGTATAAACATAAAATTATATTTATATTCATATATTTTATTTTAATGTAATGAATTACTCTTTATTTTCTCTAAATAAGGTAAATCACTATTTTATTTATACTTCCTCAAATAAAAAACAGATGAACAAAGAGCTCTGACTACAATAACACTTAGTAATACGCTCGGAACAATCCTGGGCTCCCTTTTCAGCGGATTTTTATTACCATCACTTGGATTCTTAGTCGTTTTCCTTTGTTCCGGTATACACATAAATTTATTATGCATAATTTTTTTGAAGTGATAACGTTTATAGTTTTAATACTTCGTTGATTGAACAAATTAATTTTTTCTTTAGTAACAAGTCTATTCTTTCACAATCTTTTTAGTCTTCCCTACTGTTTTTTTTTGTTTAAAAAATTATAATTAATTTTTTTTTTATGCGGTCCCCTCAATAAAGTGCAGCTCTTTTGTAAGCTGTAGTTTTTCCATTATATGCAAAGGACACCATTTTTACTAAAAAGCGGAACAGATTTTGACAATTCTTTAGAACTTTAGTAAATTGACTATAAGATTACTTAATTTTTAATATTTATTTATAAAAACGTCATGGGCAGCTTCACTGTTACTATGCTAAAATTTAATTCTGTTTTGTAAAATATTATATACTGCTGAATTCAATAGCCTCAAAAGTCAAACAGTTATTTAGTTATTTATAACTTTATTGGTATAATTTCTTTTTTTTTTAATAAGGGCTACTTGTGCTGCTGAATATGATCCTTATTGGAGTTTTACTCCCTAAGAAAGTCTACGTGCGTCCGTATAACGATACCACTTTCACCTCTAAACTACCTGATGTACTCCTTTAATAAGGGCCCAATAAATTTATTTATAGATTATTTCCAAAATTTTTAAATAAAATACAAGCTGCCACATGTTATAAAGCAGCCCGATGCTAATTTTTTGCTGTCCTGTTTGGCCAGTCTGTCGCTTACACTCTTCATGTTCAAAACTGCGGGTGTCATGTACCTCGTGACCGAACTTCTTGCTCCTCCAGAAGTCGTGGGCGTAATTTCGGTGCTTTATTTATTATAAGCCATCAGTTATTATTATTATTCTTATTATTAATAGTTATTCATTATAATTATTGTGTCTACTTTACTACTTCTTTAGGCTATGGGCGCCCTTTTAGGGTTTATTGCGAAGCATTTCACAGCAACCAATCAATTTTATCGTCTGACGTTATGCGAGGCCACCACCGTTCTTATTTTTGGCCTCCTGCTCTTTTTTCCTGCCAAAATAGTAAGCTAAATGAACCCTAATTTTAATGCACGCTTTTAGAACACGTGATGTGTAGCCAGTCTATGCGGGGCTGATGTTCTTTGCGCTGATCTCTACTGGCGTCTCGACGAGTCTCTCGCTGTTGATAGCCGCCTGCCGGGTCGAGGGCAAGCATACTTTGGTATGTTGCTTGTATAATAAACTCTTCTTTGCTGTAACGAAGTCACGCAGTTCGAACTGGCGCATTCCGCTGTCCATCTCTCGTGCATCTGCGCTCCGGCATTGGCAAGCTTGCTTCTATCTTTTGGCGGTTTCCAGTATGTCTGCTTAGTAGGTGGACTGCTTGGCCTGGCCTCCCTTTTAAAAACTCTTTCCTTTGAGTCAACTTTCGAGTACAGCGAAAGTGAGCACTCTTTTAATTTTAACGGCTATTTTCCAACAGGTGTGGTTTTCAATTTTATATAACAATAAATAAATTTAGCAAACGTTTCTATATATGCAAGTCTTTTTTATTCGAAAAGTTTCTTTAGAAAAATTCTATATTAAGAGAAAGAAGTCATAGCTACGCCAAATATATATTAGTGCATCTTTTACTACAGTTTTGAGCAAAACAACGCTACGCCTCTTTGATAATAAGATGCTGATGAAACATGTGGAGGAAGATCAACTTCGAATGAAAAGAGCAACTGCTCGCGAGTAGAGTATAAGTAAGCGGGGATCTTGCAAGTAGCTTCTTGTCGCCTGTCTGACGTTCTTGTCCAACTCATTTTCACCTCGATCTCCTCGTTGTCTGGTTCCTAATCAGCGTTGGTCACAGTAAAAGGAAAGATGTGCTGTTATTGGTGACAGGAAACCTCAACTAAGAGGAAAGTATTTTCATGTGCTTTAGCCCCGTAGCAGAAAAGTCCACCAATGGGGAAGGTCTTTCCGGTGTCCACACAGTTGGAACTATTTAGTTCGATCTGCCCGGCGGAAACCAATAAGAATAGAGGGCCGTCTAACCAGTACAGTGAGGGGACGGCCAACCTGCAGTTGTAACTCGTCCACGGGAATTCGGGTCTCACGAGAGATACGCTGGCGAAATGCAGTGATGAACGCGGAAGGAGAGCACAAGCCGCCCAACCAGAGCTTTCTGGGCTCCCACTTGTCAAGTGCAATATTATCCCATTGCACAAGTCTTTCGGAAAAGTCGCTCAGCCACTTTGAAACGGTAATTGTCGACGGGACCACGTGCCTATTCCACGTGTCAGGAATAATTCCTGCGCAAGCATATGTGGCTGCCCAGCTGAATGGAGGGATCCGATAAAACCTCTGCCAAGGGAAACCATCAAAAAGCGCACGTGGTTTTCCTGCTTTTTGGTTCCGCTATAAACTTCCTCGACTGCGAGTAAGTCGTTGCGGATTGCATTTAAAAGATTTTGGCCGTATCTTACTTCTCGCTGGAAATAGCGAGAAAGTGGATCGCTCTGATTCGTCTGTAGTGTCCGTAAAAGCTTCAGAGATTATTTATAGCCATTCACGAGCGCTACAAACTTCGTGAAGCTCCGGAATACGTAGCGATGTGGGGAGAGCAGAGAGCCATTGCTGAACCGTACTTCGAAGTACCGACATTCGCGTGGGCAGCGGCACACCGGCTAAGATTATTCTTACTCAAGAGAAGTTTTTACTGGCCCCCCATATTGGCGCCTTACCTGTCTCCTCGTCTGCCAGGCGGACAGAGTCAACCATATCGCCTTGCAGCTTCGAGAGTTTGGAAACAAAAGTCTCCTCTTGAAGTAGTAGCAGCGTCTTGTCTATACACAAAAATAAGTAGCCACCGGATACAGCCAGAAAAGGATTCTTCGAGCGGTACCGACTGTACTAGGCAGGCCGAGCCAGCGAGGGTCAGGCTGCTCAGGCAAAGACTCGATCCACTCTAAGAAAGTTTCCCTTCTAGTGGTATCCGGAAAAGTCTGTCAGGGAGGTAACCACGCATAAAATAACAGACCGCGCCAGTTTTTAATAGACTACCAACAGCCGGCGGAGATTCGGTTCAGATACTGGCGAATAACTGACATCAAAACTTTGAGGGTTAAACAGCTGATCAATTAGTGATTCGAGAGTATATCGGTCGAATTCGTTATCGACTCGCCCCCCATAAACACTTTCACACAATAAGCGACGCAGCGCTGCCCACGGAATCGACTCCGGGGATAAGTGAGAGGAGCCCTTTGCATGCTTTTAAAAGGAATGATGAATGTGTTATGCAGTAAAGCGATGAAAAGAAAGACCCTGTCGATCCAAGTGTCCACGGTGTCTAAGGCGCAGCGAAAGTCGCTCTCGTTAAAGTCGTACGGCTTTGACCAGCCTGAAGATGTTGCTATAGTATCAATTGGAAGATTTCAAGGATACGTAAATAGCGCGACCAATTGGGCAGTAGCGAAGGCGCTCGAGTACACTCATGTGGAGCCACGCCAACAAAAAGTAGACCCGCGAGCGCTCGGAAGGAGGAGCGTCCATGCGAGTCGGAGGCACAGACGCCACCACGCGAAGCAGGTTGGCTTTCACGCCAAAAGGCGACTGGAAGACAAAGATTCTGGATAGGCGGAGCAGGTTCACGCTGATGTTCGCGGTGACTTCCATGCTCAGGAAGAGGCGAAATTTTTCGTGGGCCTCCAGGCTTTTCAACTTATGGTTAGAGAGCCATTAATAAAAAATTAAAGCAGAGAGCGCGCAAGAAACACCCGAGTCTTTTCAAACGCATGAAGCCACGTGGGAGACAAGTGAACATTTTTCAGAAGCACCCAGCCACCCTGTTTACAGGCAGACGCCAAGGCCTTCTCAGCGAGATGAAGACTTTCGTTCGAGCCCATCGCGACGGAAACACAGTCATTCCCACTGGTAATACGATTCACATGTGTGGAGGCGTCGTGGCCGACCGTGGAGCACAGCAACACGGGCGTTCGGCAGTCTATTTCTGTAGAATGCATTTACTGTTTGAGCGGCCGACGACAAAAGCGCAAAAGAGAGACCTTCAGTGACAATGCGCAGAAGATCCAGCCCAGCAGTCAGATCCACGTGACCTTCAAAAACCACATGGAGAAAGCTCTCGCAGTAAGCCAGCGTTTTGACAGGGTGCACGTGTTTTATGAGGAGCAGTTGCCGAAAGGCGTTTACCGTTTCAGAGCTCTATGTGCGCAAGAGAGGACAGTTGAAAGTGAGCGGGTATTGGCCAAAGAAACAATACATGGTCGGAATCCTGCCAACAAACCAGAGGTGGAGCATCGACGTCCAGCAAAAACTTGAACCAATCTTCTTTGTGCTCCATGATATGCGCCTCAATTCCAGCGAATGGAGGGATTGTGGCAAGTTTGGAAAGCCCTAAAAAGTTTTTGTTAGATGTTTCATTGGAAGAAAAAGGACAAGATAGAAAGACCCAAAAGCTTTTGGGGGGGAATGTCGTCCAATAAGAGTTCTATATTTTTTCCTGAGCTAATAAAATAACGCTATTCACGAGAAGACCAGTAAAAAGCTGCAACAGGAACGCACGAATGGGAGCCTAGAAGAAGCTCGAATTCAGAGTCTGGAATGGAGGATGAATCATAGTGGCATTTGATTCTCGCAAGCAACATGGCAAAGACCACGCGATCGTCGAAAAATAGGGAGTGGCAGAAGCGGTCTGGCGGTTGTATAAGTGGAACGCCTCCCTCAAACGCCATATCAAAGAAACGTACCATACACGAACGAGAATAGAGAGTTAAAGATAACGGCTAAGCGGCGCGTGGGATCCTGCATACCGGTAAGGGCGGGGTTGGCGTGCAGGACGGCTTCGAATATCGACAGGAAGTGCGAAAGGGAGAAGTGATACAAATAATGAAGCCGATGAAGGCTCTCAATGGTAAAGAAAATAGCGCTGCAGGCTTCGGAAAGCGGCACGTAAGCAGCGCTGACGGCCTCGACTTCCCGTATGACAGACTCGGTGTCTCGCGCCTTTTTTAAAGTGCAAGTATCTTGCATCAGTATATTAACCGAAAACGACGAGGCGCGACGCTTAAAACCTTTGAATCCGTCTCTGCCGCCTCGGACTTTAGTTTTTCAAGAGCTGTAAGGATATTATCGTCGTCGAGGAGTCTTCCCTGAACGTTGTTTAGCTCGTCTAGCAAACGCTCCTCCAGTGATTTTAAACGCGCACGGAACTCGCCTGTAAGGAGTCCGGAAAACTTCTCAGGGGTGAATCATTATGCAGTCAAGACAACATACTTTGGAGTAGCATCAGTGCCTTTCTCTTTTCTTCTATATCCGGACGTTCGGCCTTTAAAGCCTGAAAGTACAATAGTGAGTTTCCTTAAAAAAAAAATTCAGCCAGTAGCTAAACTTTATTAAGGCACTGCATTTTTAGTGAACCGAGAGTAACAGTGAAGTTCACAAGAGTCACGCGGCTGTATAGCTCCGGCGGGAAGACCATGAATGGGTCATTGGTGAGCATAAAGACCATGAAAGAAGGCGAAAAGTCTGCCAGAAAAAGTTTCAGGGGCGCCGATCCTTGCCAAGTCTCAGACTAACGAGCCAATAACCAACATCCTGGTCTCCAAGGCGAATAAGAACGCGCCCACCTGTGCGCCTCAGCTCTTTATTGAGGACGGGATTCATGATAACGTCGTAGTTCTCCACGTCTCGTATCTATAATAAAAGCGCGCCCTTTTGCACAGTAAAAGTAGATATCACTTCTCAACGTACCAGTAAAGGGGTTCCAAAACGAAGAGCACTTTCCAAGGTTTTTCGGAATGAGTCGTCCAGAAAAGAAGTTTTCACGATCTGTTATCGGTGGGTGAGAGTATTATAGACACACTACACGGTGGCTATATAAGTACCCTTTTCTCCTTGAAAAAGTTAAGCAAAAAGCCTTCCGCCTGGCCGCTCGGGTCGATAACTAGAGGATAACGGTCGCATCGCTCTAGTATGATAGCATTCTCGACACAAATATCATCGTCCGGCAGTCCCGATGCCTACAGTGGATGAGGCGCCCATATGGCTTCTGGTCGGCGAAAGTGGTCAAATAGGAGCACCTGCCATCCTATTCGGTCGTTGGGCGTCGATAAGTATTCCTGCATGGACAGCTCGCTTGTGAAAAGAATGTTGCTCTGCTGTAAATGGTTCATCCAGCTGCACAGGAGGGCCACGCGGCTCTGCTGGTCAAAGAATCCGCAGTACGTCAAAAAGGCAGCGCTCAGCAGTACATCGCCAGGAATAGTGGTTCGTTGCGTCTTTCAATGTTATTCAAAATAGTCAGTGGGGTGGAGGAGGAGGAAAAGGCCAAGAACATACGTTGAAGGTGTGGCTCTCTGTGCGCCAACGAAGCTGCTCGGAAGCAAGACTTTCTGTGAGGGAAATGCTCCGAGTGACCTTCAGTTCCACTAAAGTCATCGAGCGTTTGATTTGTTGGGATTCGCTAATCAGATTAGCATACTCCTCCTAAACGCATGACATGCGGTAGGCGACACACTACGAGGAATAAACTGGGAAAAATCTACAAAAGGAAACCTTGTACTCGGCTATGCTCTTTTCTAGCGAATCTACCAGTATGTTAGTTTTTTCCGCCTGGGACTCTGTTTCATTGGCTGATCGCTCCAGTGCTACACAAAATAGATAAGAGTCGAGTGTGAACAAAGCGCCAATGAACGAAGGCGACCTGCCAGCTCTCTTCTGAGAGGGCCAATGCGCTCTAAAATATCGGCGTATTTAAGCTATAGACAAACGGTCTTGCTTTGAAATGCATCAATCAAGCAATCAAACAATTTTTTACCTGAGCCTGAACCCACTTCACCAAAGGGCCGCAAGCTTTACTAGCGCGATCTGCAGCTTCAAAATTATACTGAAAAGGTGATACGGCTAATAGTCAACAGCTTTCATATATACTTATTTTGAACGACCACCTCTGAACTCTTAATGTAGCTATTTGTCATCCTCTGGTGAATCTCAGGGGAGACAGAGCCGGTGTCAAAGTTGACGATGTTGGCTATAAAGTCGTCCTTCATTATAATAGAGCGGATGTGTTTCCAATCGAGATCCGTTTCTGTAGCATGAAAGGTAGGCGACTATTGGAGGAAACCGGCAGCCATTTTTGTGCACCTCCAAATAAAGCGCAAACACTTTCCATAGTCAGCTTGACCATTTTCGGGGGGTTTCCGAGAGCCCGGAGCTGAATAGAACGATAAGAAATGCGAGAACACAGCATTTACAAAAATTAACCTCGACGAGCTGCTGCCGTTTGATCCCCTTTACCGCCAGGCGGGCATCCTCAACGATAGGCTCAACTTGAGATAGTTCCGCTTTCACCGCCAATGAACGTTCGTTAATTTGAGCTTTCTTTTTACTGAGCTCCTCCTGCCAAAAATTGCAACCACTTGCAAAAAGGTCGACCCCCCTGACCAACCTGAATGGCAAGGAAAGAAGCTTTTTCGCGCTCGGCTTCCTGTTGGTTCTCTACCATTTGCTTCAATTTTTGATTGGCCTGCTCCTCTTTGCGTTCGAGCTCGAGCTAAAAGTTATAAGCGAACATTATCATCCGCTGGCGATGCATGACGCATGGAAGCACGCAGACTTTCTTGGCGGAGAGTTCCTTCCGCAGTTCCTCGACTTGTTGAACTGTTCCTGCAAGCTTTTGGAGACCTGAGTTAAGAGCGAAAAAAGTAAAGGGGCTAATCATGGCACACAGTCCGCCCATACCCACGCTGATGTGCACTTGCAGGTCTTCCAGAGCCGTCTGCTTTTGGGTAAGAAGGCTTGCAAAGTGCTTAATGAAGCTAAGATAATGCCGCGGAGTGATGTGGGTCTTCCTGTGGCCAACAGTATAAGACACAGTGATGCTAGCAAGCTCATTGGTTGGCAGGCACCTCTCTTCGCGATCGTGGACGCGCATACACGTCTCTTGCAAACTTTGATGGACATACACAAAGGCACATACAACGGCTTCGCGAAAACTTTGGGGCGAGAAACCTATAAACATTTGACTTCCAATAGGAGGCCGTACACCACCCACGTGTGTGTACCTGATATAGCAGAGGGAAAGTCGCTGGGTGGAGTATAAGTGGGATCCTCGAGGTCAAGTTGGGCGGTCAACTCGCATCCGACCCTGTAGAAGGCGCGTGGTGTCCAGTCGCCAAACCAATTGATGACGCAGCGGTTAAAAAGCGCGGGAGAAGCGGAGAGGTTCGTAGTCAAGCCGGCCTCGGTGGGATTCATGGTAAACACCACGTGAAGATTCTGCATCACCTGTAAGAGCAAAAATTTACTCCGAGCATCTTTCCAAAAGCACGTGGTATACTTGAGCAGAAAACCACTTATACAACTCTTCCGGTGAATCTAAAAGGACGCCCTCCCGTTGAGCGGCCTCAGTGCATTGCGTCAACCATGTCGAGTACTCATCCCCTTCAAACAGGCCGGGAACCTCGCCGTTAGCTAATAGCGTGTTAATTCTTTCTAGAAAGGATGCGCCCAACATGTTGGATTCGTCCAGAATAAATGCAACTTTTTCGCTAATAAATATTATAAACATTCATAATATATATATGGCTATATGCACAAGTGAGACCCTTTGCAGCCCGTCAGCTTGAGAACAGCACGTAAGTCGTCATCGAAAGCCGCCATGGTATATTTAGAATGCGCCTAATAATAATGATAATAAACACATTATAATAACATCGAAGCACTATACTTTGATCTGAATGGTCCTAAAGCCGTTCATCCAAGCAACAAAGCGGGAAAGTGTTGTCCTTCCAGAGCCGCTTACGCCAATAATTAACACGTGGCCTAGTTTTCACTCGTTTCATTGTTGTTTACGGCCGGTTATGAGTGTATTAATGCCTTGCGACTGCCTGAAGACTCTGTCGATACGCAAAACATTGTCCAGAACTTCATCAAACAGTACGAGTGGTACATCGAGCTCCTCCTCATAAAAAACCTGTCGAACCTCACTTAAGCACGTGAAAGCTTATACATAAAAACGTAATGAACTTTTAGTCGGGCATTCACAAACTGGCGGAGCGTTTCGATATCAACGGAGACATAATCCTTCGATAACCAGTTGCTGTACAGGATTGGTCGCTTGAGTGCCGTCTTGTGGTCAACGTTGGGAAAGTGTTTGACCTGTTACCATTATAAAATGTCAACAAAAATATTATAAACACAAAAAGAGTCAATGATTACGGCCACAGAATCGATCAGCGAGTCCGTCCAAGAGCGCTCAGAAGAGGTAACCAATCTGTCCTAAGGAGAGTCATGAGGGAAGGGCCGCGGGAGTTAAAAGAGACAACAAACTTGGAACAGACGGAGAGCCTCGTGGGCCCATGTACGAATCAACGCCTCCGGAGTCAGCAAGTCGAGAGACCGAACAGCCTCGTAAATACCGCGGCACCAGCGAGTAAGCTCGCGGGGACTGTAGAGATAGTGTGGCTGCTGGTCCACAGTGAACCTACAATGAGGGTTCGTAGTCTAGCGAAGGCGAGCCACCAACCACTAAGGGAAGGACCTCGCTTGGGACCGGGCGTACACCTCCACCATGGCCTCGGTCAATGGATCGCAGTAGCCTTGAAAAAAGTGTAAAGTATAATCATACTCAGCCAATAGAGGGCAGCCGACCTCGCAAACTGGGGTGAAGGCGAAGCAACGCTCGATTAAACGTTTTATAAATCTGCAGGAGTGACTCCTGCCTCGGATAATCTACTAGTACAACAGACACATGGCGGAGGAATCTCGGTGTCAGTATTTTTCGACCCGGATCAGTGGGCGGGTTGCACGCTCCTATAAACTGAATGCGCTCCAAGCTGACCCACGAGTTTTCTTTGACTTGCCAAAACCCTCGCCTCTCCACGAGTTGGCGCAAGAAGCTGATGATAGGCTGCGTGCCATAGCGGTCGGGGTCTGGAAGGTTGATCTCGTCGCAAAATACAGCAAGCCATTTTCCCGAGGCGGACGGCGCTAGCACCCGACCGTCTGGCGTGCGTTTGTACTCGCAGTAGCGGTGTAGTGCCTTCAGTAAAAAATTCGGCGTTGTGGCCGACGAAAAGTTCAGACAAACAACTTCCATTTCTGGCAAGTTACGAAGTGCGTTAAGCAAAGTCATCGTCTTGCCTGCCATGAAATAGAGAGTGGGAGGGGCGATAAGCAGGATCCGGCCGTAAGTATTCTTACCGGACCCGGGGGGGCCGCATAATAAAAGTGGTTTGTGTTCTGCTAATAATGCACGGAGCAGGGTCTGGTGACGGATGGTGTCCATGGTGGGCACCACGACATCCGGGTTAGTAATTTTATGAGCCTCTACCTCGACGAAAGCCACCTGATTCGCAGAATAGAAAATACAGAGGCATTACTCCAAGATTGCGTCGAAAACTCGGCAGTGCAAACTTTGAGGCTCCACGGCGACCACTCTCCACTGGAAACTTGCACCTCGTGGTCGATAATAGAGGATTGCGGAATAGTAAAGGAGGCGGAAACTCGTGGACGCATGACCGCCTCAAGTTGCTCCCGGCTATAAAGAACCAATAACATCATAAAATAAACGGAAAGAGGGGAAAAGACAACCCAGTAGATAGCAAATCTCCGCAAAAGCTCCATACCAATGAAAAGACGAGGTAGTTCGTCAGATACTTCTCCAAGATGACCGTACTCAAAGGAAAGTCCTCGTGGGAGCTGCACAAGAGTACTACCTATGCTGTGAGGGAATAGACATGCTTTTGGCTGACCTGTTGTAGTCTAGAACACGGCGGACACCCGCAGTGAGAAGCGTGAAGAGGGATTCCAGCGCACGCAACTTTGAAAACTTCATGACATGCTCCATACGCGCAGCTACGGATAAGCATGCGCAAACGAGGCCGTCTGGCAAGGAGACTGCCTTGGTAAAGAGCACGGTGTCGCTCACGAAGTGATACCCTCCGCAAAATGAGGCTCTAGAAAATCCGCGCACTCCTGCTGCGTTGCTAAGAAAAGCCCGCCACCTTTGGGCGATAATAAAATTTATTCGCTGTAAGTAAGGAAGCCCTCCTGCCTAGTGGTCCTTGCCTTTTTCATTGGAAATATCCCCGGCAATGCACTGATGCCTCAGCTTGGAAAAATAATGAGCGAAAAGGTCCGCGGGAGCCAGCGTGTCCTCTCCAAACCACACCATCCCGCAGCGAGAGACAGTCGCCGGAGTGGCAAAGTCAAGATTCTGTGTGATAACGACATATGTTTCTGAAGCGGCTGGTGCCGTGGGCCTAGGCTCGGTGGTACCTGCACCTCAAAAAGAAGCCTGGCATTAGCGGGGAAAGGAAGCCTTTCTCCATTGGGCAAAGTGAGTAGTTTATTATCGTCCAAGACGCTGTAAAGAGGTTCACTGAAGGATATGTAACACGAGTCGCGAAAAGCTATCTGCACCTGTTCAAGTTTTCCGCCCATTCAGGGTCGACATCGCCGTCGAATACAATCCAGTGAAACTGTGAGCAAGAAAGCGAAAAGGTATAAATAGAATATTTTCTCGCTACCATACGGTAAAAAGTAACCTTTTTATTCTCATTTCTCACGTTGTCAACAATTTTGCGAAGAATGTGTGTGAAAAGGCCGTCCGTCCACTCCCGCGTGTTATAGTCTAGCGCCCCGTACAGCTCGTCTTTCGAAAGGACTTTTGGGTCAATGACGTACGACACGTGCTATAGCGGGGCAAATGTTTCGCCCCGGCGATAGAAAAGGTCTGACGTAGTAGCAAACCTCCACGCCGGATGTAATGGAAACGGCCTGCAAAAGTGTCCTCCATGCGGACGTCTTCCCGCTTCCTGGAAGGCCAACCAGCATTACTCCGTGATGAGTTTTTTGAAGCAAATAAATTTGATAAATCTTCTCAATCCAATTTTCGGCGGCCACGTAGCAGCTAAGCTGGCAGAGCTTTGGAAAAAAATAAGTCTTTAAAAAACTTGAACAAAAGTTCCAACGCGCCTCTAATATGCAGCCTTTAAGTTTTTCGTAACCAGTGACTGGAGTGACAACATCAGGAAATACATCCCGCACTAAACTTTCAAAAAGTGGGATATCCTCGTCCACCAGTTTCGGCTTCAGCGTTTCGCAGACACTGAAAAAGTTTCTCACAAGAAAGTAAATGAAAACAGAACGAACGTAAAAAACCAAGTGACCAGTATTTCCTGCTCAAAGTCTTGCTGGCTTCCTCGAGTAGCTCCCTGGAGACATAGAAAACACGTGAGCGAGTGTAAAAAGGACAGCCCGTCGCAAGGAAGATGGTCACACGTACAGCACAGTGAGTACGGCGCGAACTACCAGCGCTCAGCAGAACCGCCTTTAACGCGCGGAGTCCAAAGTCGTAATGAGACTGCCGGGAAAGCTGCTCTTCACAAAGACGGTAGAGCGACACAATTTTCTTAGAAAGATGCTCGGCGGTCTGAAAGCCTAGAGGAAGAGTAAGCCTCATGACTGAGGGGTGATGGATCGGAGAGAACGTACCTTGCGAGTACAGCATCACCTGTACGATCAGCTGAGCATCGGGAGCAGTCATAGCGAATGGGCGGAAAAGCTGCTTCAAATTCCCGGGAAGATTGGAGCGGCCGGCATACGTAGGATTCATTGTAATAAATATGGCCACGTCGGGGTTGACCGTCACTGCGCTGCCCAGGCAGCCCATCTGGGTGGCCCTGAGTTGGTATAGTTCGTAAGCAGTGGTACGGGTAAAAGGATTCGATTGGAGAGCACCCAGAAGCGGCGGTGGCGCTGAGGACCGTCTGAATCGTTTGGATCTGCTGGGATACCGCCGAAAGAATTCTTTCCTCGAGCCTGTTGAACTCGTCGAAGCAACCCCAGGCGCCAACCTGCAACCAATCAGGGTCAACAACAGGGTAAAAGCCTATAATTAATAATAAAAGGAGACCTGACAGAGGCCAACAAATATTCTCCCCATCGCCTTGAAATCGAAACTCTCATTACAGTTGAAGACTATAACGAAACGCCCCAAAGCCCGACCAAGTGCCTGGCAAACATGTTTATTACATGTGTTCTTTACCATCATAAGCACGGTCCAACCTTTACCGATTCAGTCTTTCCTGTGCCAGCGGGGCCAAAGGGGCTCCCTCCTAGGCGCTTCTTCAGGGCTTGCGTCATGGTCAGATAATGGGAGTCGGTGAGTGGCGTCTGGACGAGAGGTTCGGGCACACCCAAGTACTCAAAGCTGGCAATGGCCGTGAGACAACACACAGCAGAGGTCAAAAGGATAATACCCATAAAAGAAAAAAGCTTCCGCCACGTGTATGCTGACTCTTTCATAGATGCTCGACTTTTCAGAGTTGTAGTAGAAGCGCATGTACCGCAGCCAATCGAAATTATCGATATCGCACGTCTCTCGCGCGATCAGCTCGCGGACTACATCACGCTGGTGGACAAGTTCTAAGATAACATTAGCTTGTATATTGAGGCACGCGTTAGAGGCCACAGCCAACCGGTGATGAGGAGCTCTGTCTTTCTCCTGCGCAGAAAAGGCTGCTCATTAAGGACGGAGTCCGCCAGAAGTGATAAGAGATACTCCAATCCCTTGCAAACTGTAGACAAAGTGGCCGTAGTGATCCCCTGCATAAAAAGCTGAGTAATTCGCGAAAAGCCAATAAAAAGTGAGAATTGCGCCTTTTCTACGTTGAGAGTCCACGTGATTTGAAGTGAGAGAAGTAAGATTTGCGCTGGGAACTTTTCGATCCAAGCAAAAAAACAACGTCCGACCAATTCGCTTAATAGAAGATCTCGTAGCTGACAAAAGGACGCCTCCAAGTAGTTCGCCAGCGACACGGCGGTCTCCTGCTCAACTTTGGATAGCCATTGGCTCAGGCTCTTATCCGTCTGGTTAGCTTCTTATGAGCGAAGAGCACACAGTAAGCTCATGCTAGTACCTCCAATGGAAGGACGTTGATAAACATAATTTCTTCATCTTCTTTAGAGGCGACCCCCGCAATCTAAACCGCGTTTACTATTGGCACAAAAAATTGTGAAGGGGCAGCCACTACGTTGTTATCATCGCTAAGCAACACGCGGTTAACTCCTGCAAACATTTTCTTCAAGTGTTTCTGAATCCTTGAAATATCCTGTGTTGTGCCACGTGACTTGACTATCGATATCGAACAAGAACGGCTTAGAATAGACCCTTCCACTCCCGATGATTTCTAGCAAATCTTCATCTCCAATGAAATAGAAGCGCGCAAAAGCGGTGCGCTGCCGTTCCAAATAACCTCCCAGAGACTTCTGAACTTTGGTCAAAAGGTCGCCTAAACGCTCCAATGTTTTCTGCCTCGTCAAAGGGCATGTAAGGGGCGGCCAGAAAGCTCGATGGAGGAGCAAACCTGGATGTTAGGCAGACCTAAAACTTCAAGCACAAGAGCAGATTTACTTATTTTCTTCATTATGTTCAAAAAATCTGCCAGAAAAAGTGTGAAAACCCTCAAGCCACAGCCTGGTCACAGAGGACGGAACCGGTGCTAACAGCTGCAAAGCGAGACGTCTCCGCGGGCAGAAGGCTTCGCAGGTCGTCTGAAGTGCTGCCGAACAGGCCGTCCAGATAGACCCATCTGTAGACCAATTATTCCGCGGGAGTTAGCTGGAAAAAAAATACTACTGATGGCGACCTCCTTTGCAGGTCGACCCAGACGTCCAAAAGATTACTCAATGCAGTCAACTTTTCTTCCCATATTTCTCCTTCCTCCGCAAATGTCTGTGACAAGCAAAAGTATAGGTGTAATATCTATATGGGCGCCGTAAAGTTGTGTCCAGACCCGATAGAATGGCGAGTGCCGCATGCCGTGCAGGCTGTTAAGGTGCTCCTTTAGTTTGGTAAAGAGATTGTCGCATCCTTAATGTTTAATAGGAACGCCCTCAGGACTGGACTCGTGCAATCACAAGCACGAGGGAGGACCTTTCACGAGGCGGCACTTGTTCTGGTAGACAACCAACTCGAGCCGGCAGTCCTGCCACTCGTCCTGCATATGCCTGAGGAATTGCTCCAAACCCATTTCACCCTGAGTAACGTGGTTCATTGTCAGCAAAATACTCTCATTGGTCGGGTGACCTGTGCTTGGGAGAAGAGATCCTCTAACGCCTTCTTGTGTTTCTGTAGGTCGATGTCCCACGCTGTCCCCAAAGTCATGGTAGACAAGGGCCACTCACGATGGAGTTGCTTTTGAAGAAGCTTCCAGTGCCGCTCCTTAAACGCTTCGCTTTTCAACCCTGCAAGCTTCACCAAAAACATTTAGGGGATCGCCGCCGCGCCGGAATATAAAAATGTGATGTGGCGAACCAACGGCGTGCTTGCTGCCAAGCCTTTGAGGGTAGCAAGGAGGTGTTCGTAAGAGGCGTACTGCCTAAGACGGTTGGGAAGAGTTTTCAGGCTATCAATAAGGGCATGGAGCGTCTGACAAGCCCAAGTGAATTAGTCTGCAGCTTATGCTGGAGATCACAAGACCTGTTGGGTTTTGCGAGGAAGCACTGCGGCCCACGGCTGGTCTCGCAACTCAAAGAGAGCCTGCCACACTCTGCTTAACTCGGTCCACGTAGACTTCAACCCATCGAGTTCATTCATGGCGTTCCCAAGTCGGGGATCCGCCTAGGCGAATATAAAGAGAAAGCGGAGGACGACATATGACTGGTATACCGTGACTGCGAGGGCAAGAGCCTCTTTGGCTTGGTTAAGATGCCTGTACTCCTCTTCAAGCTTATTAAATTTGAGATCGAACGCAGACAAAACGCCCACCACGTGGTCCATTGCCAGGTTGCCTGACCATTGGAGGCAATATTCAGTCGAAAAGGACGCGAAAAAAGCAACAGACGCGCCCTGTATGGGCTTGTGAATCTCCCAGTCTTGAAGAAGAGCAGATATTCTGCCCTCAAGGGTTTTGCTTTCTGCAAGGATCATATTTTGCAGCGGCACCAGTTCACTCTGCAGACTATGCTATTTAGCGAGGACGATTGGTCACCAATCAAAAGTCTGCCTGAATAAGGGCCTCTTTCCGGCCGAGTATCTCGTTGAAAGCCGCCCATTCCCCTTCGACATTGTCGTAGTAGAGCCAGTCGGAAGGAAAGTGATACCTCTGGCGTTCAAGCAGCTTCTGACTTTCCTTAAACTGGTCCATTTGAATGCTCCACGGATTCATCTTAGGTGAGAAATTAGGACTACTGCACTTAAAAGGTTGCAGGGAGTCTAGTGGGCGGTACCTTGTACTTCAGCTCCTGGATGAGGGTCAGTAGGCCAACAGCCCCGCTAATAGAGTGCACGGATTGCTTATAGGACTCGAGTGCATGGCGGTTCTGTGCCACGCGTGTCAGACAAGACAGATAAGAGAGAACCTAATGGCAGCAGACCTTGAGGAATGTCGAGTAGCAAACTTCCAACTGACGAGCGACGATGCTCCCGAACTTCATCAGGATATTTCTGTGCCACGTGTCGTATTTCGCGTTAACTTTCGATTGCACATGTGTGTAGTTGATGATAATCCAACCGAAAGAAGTGGATGATTTAGTGTTGTCAAATGTGCTAATTATAGCGAAGGCAATAATGAAAAACAGCAAAGGCGCAAAAGAACACACCTTCGCGAGGACTGAATTTCCTTTAACAGCGTAATCCACAGCGATAGGTCGGCTCCCAAACGAGCATAAACTAAAGTGACTTGTAAAACCACGAGACGAAGGATACACGCGCAATATGAATTACCTGTCTCGTCGTTGAGGTCCCAGAGAGACTGGTAGGAAAGCCATGTCCTTACGTACTCCTCTGCAGCAGCGAGTCGTTGTTCTACTTTCTCATAAAGCTCAACCAATACGTTTCTATAGGCTTAAATACTTAATGTCTTCATAAAGAAAAAAGTTAGGCAACTCCGTCCCAGCGGCTCCAGCAAGAAGATAATTAAAGTTTTTTATATTGGAAGCATTGACGGCGCTAATGTGGTATCGCGTGCTTTGAAGTCTGGGCAGCTCACAGACGACGTTTACTAAAGAGCTCAACTATGGAAGGTAGCGGGAGATGAAAGTAAAGGGCAAATGGGCGGGGCGCACCTGGAAAAAAATATCCTCCCTGGCCTTTGCAAGAGAAGGAAGCAAGTGCATTACTTGATTCGTCATGCGTAGTTCACAAATAAAGGGGCGAAACCAATGAAGGTCAGCCTGGTCCGCTGTTGCCTTGTTTGGCTGTCAGTAGAAGCAGTCAGTCCCGAGTAACCATGGAGTGAAAAGCTCGAGCACCTCCCCCAAGGAGGCTGAGCACTGCGAAAGCATTTGCTCGAGCCTGAGCTTTAGCTTGGCCTCGACCTCGGTGTTCACAAATTCAACCCATTGGCTAGTATGTATCCAATTGGTTGTTACATTACAACAAATAATATAACAGTAAATCAACTGCAAATTAGAAAATCCATGCAAGCACAACTCGTCTATACGCTCCTGCAGAGACCCCATAAAGTTTCGAAGGCGAAAGCCTTCATAATTGCAGGTGGCGAGCTGCTCGAGAAGACCTTGAAGCTGACTGTCTGTTTCCAGGGCTTCGTCGACCTGTTATTACAGATCACGTGAGTTCGGCTTTCTAAAAGGGCAGACAGGACATGTGGCACCTTTTCCTGGAATGACAAGACGATTTGAAGAAAGTTATTTACGTAGGCCTCCAGTTTATGATGATTCCAATGGTAACCGACACCCTCTGCAATGGCGTTCTGCACGCTTTTATGCGGCTCGCTGACTATTAGTCGGATGCGGGGGCCCATCTCCATAAACTCACAATATATTCTGTAATATACACAACGAAGGCGAGATATACTACTTTCTTTAAGGCCTGAGTGTAGGTGGTCACGGCCTCTTGCAAAGAGACAGAGTAAGGATAAAGGGCCTGCCCATCGCTGGCAAAATACTGAATGTTAATCGGTACGCGGAATCCAAGCCATTGCAAGTTCCGAGTTTCCTTAAAAAGTGTGATAACCTCTCTATCAAAATTAACCACGAGTTGCCATTCGTTGTTTCCAGCAACCCTACAAATTGGGTCGATAAAGGCGCAGCTCAGTGCAAAAGCGCCGTAGCACACACCTCTTGGAACGCACAGTAAAAAGCTTGTCGTTTCTGTCAAATTTGCAATGGGCCGCGGTGGTTTCCCATTCGTCGTATAGTTTCTGAGTGTTGATAACGGCCCGGAAGTTGTCGGACTCTTCTTTTAGTTTCTTGCCATCTGGATGATCCTCCCATCCTTTTCCACAAAAACTAATGAAACTGGAGCGTGTTACGACCAATAGAACAAGAACACCTTCACCGAGCACGTTTGAGACCCTTTGCATGTAGGCCTTCAGATGGCGTTCAATGTTCCTAAACCAAATGATTCGTCCAGAAAGAGGAGGTAAGTCTCTTATGGAGCCCATTTTAGCCGCTAAGGAACTGTTGTAGCTATGAAGCACAAAAGAGGTCGTCTGAAACTAAAGGAAAAGTATAAGGAGAGAATACCGACCTGTCTCTTCCCTCTTCTGCTGCACACTTTTTCTGCAGGGAACGGATGTCTTCCTTAACTTTCTGTATTAGTTTGCTATAAAATATATATATTAAAAAATAGCCGCGTCACATGCCGAATTATGGGATAGTAGAACCTCTGGTACTCCTGTATGGCCTCGCGGATGCGCGGGCGGACAAATAGCGCATTAATTTTGCTGAAAATTCTGAACATCTCATTGGCGTTCCGAGCTTTTCCGAGCTGATCCCGCAAATACGAGATGATCTTAGTCTCCACACCTGCAACACCAGCCCTTTAAAAGAGCAAATGGTAGCCTTTATAGAGCGCTAAACCATTGACTTTGGAATTATAGTGGCTCATGGAGGACGCCCACCAGGACGTGCCCTCTTCGCTAAGATCAAGAACGTCGCTGGGCCTTCCTTTACCAAAGGCCACGCTTTCATAGGCGTTCTGGACTTGCTCAGTCGCAGCGGTGTCTTTGTATAAACTTAACACTCAGGAAATGGAAGTGTGCTAAGCACGTGGTCAGTTTATGCCTTGTTCGGCCTGAAAGGTCTTGAGCACGCGTTTAATAACCGAAAGCAATTGTTCATGCTGTTCTCGGAATTTCTTAACTTCTTCTAAGCGAAATCTCAGAGCCTCGTGGTGGGTCTTTATCTTAATAGCGATTGGGTCAGAAAGTGCCGAACATTTCCTCATCGCAGATCTACCTGAAGAGTTTGTCGGACGTTTCTTCTTTTGGCTATCTCGCGGACCAATGTGCGGAAAGTTTGAAACTGATCCAGCCACGTGTCGAAAACGCCTTTGCACATCTGCATAAGCTTTGATAATTATACTTTGAATAATTAATCTAATCAGTGAACATTAAAACTAATTATAACCCTTAAAAATTCGTCAAATCGCATTTGAAGCAAAGAATAGTTGCTCAAAATTTTATGAAGCTGCGTCGTGAGATCCCGGGAAATCGCACGAATGAGTTCCAAAGCGCGACCCAACGGGTATGACGTGCTTTTTAACTTTTTTAAGTGCTCAAAGATATTAACTAAAGCGCCTGAAGTATAACAAAACAGTCATAAACTTCTAAAATATTTATTAATTTATAAATTATAAGGAAACCCGGAATTTCCTCAATCTCGGTGGAGGCAAGTAAATCATTTAAAGGAAAATCTTTCATCAAGTTGTTGTAGTAATTGGAGACTAAGAAATAACAATCATGATATCACCTAAAAATACTGTTCAGCATAACAAATCTCAAAACCTTTTTCCAGAATTGGTTTTAATCTGGTATCATTTTCAAAACTGGTAGTCGCTAGAAAACGTTTATTGCTTCTTAAAATCTGCAAAGTCAGCTCTAGAAGCAATAAAGTTTAATAAATTAATTTTTTAATGTCATTATACGAATAAAGTGCTACTAATATCGGGCTGATCTAGCCTAGCTTGAAGCTTTTCTAAAGCGTGATACAAATTAATCCAGAAATTTATTTCCTGTGAGGCTGAACCAGAGGTAAATTCGCGTTCCAGAAGAGTTACTTTCTGAATTTCTCTCAGCCAATGTCTGACGCCGTGCTCCCCCAGCTGTAACTCATTTAAAAATTTCGTGTCGGCTTCAAAGTTTTCAATGGCTGAAGAGTCATCTTTACACTTTTTTTAATATAAAACTTGGTTAAGTATTAATCTATAAAATTAAATTGTAACTCACGCTTTCAAGTAGTTCAGCAATTTTATGGTGTGCTATCAGCCGAACTTCAGGAATCTCAAATTCTTGTTGTGCTCTTTTCAGTGAAAGTTCTAGATTTGTTATATCTCTTTTTACTGTATCTACAGTAAAAATAGTTTGAATAGTTAGAAATTTAAGAATTAAAATTTCATCACCCACCAATTTTTTCCCTAGAACAGTCGCTGCCACTACGGGCGAATGAAGTAAAAAAAGGAATAACCGTATTGCAAACATATAGATGGAGGATTTCAAAAGGAGAATCCTTGTCTAACATAAGTATCCTAATCTGAGAAGACAACGGTTTTCCAGTCGCCAGTATGCCCTGCTTTTTAACTAAAGCTAGATTTAAAGAACAAGCTTTCGAAAAGCAAATTTCCAAAGAAAACAAGAAGATCGTCTCAGTTTCTTATATATAAAAGTAAATTTAGTAAAAAAGGTTAATTTCTAAACAAAGCTTAAACCTTCTTCTATCTTTTGAATAGAAAGAGTCCATAAAGTAGAATCAGAGATAAACTTTTCTATTACTTCTATACTAGAAGGACAAGACATATGAGATATAAATAGCTCTTTGGAGCACTCGAAAATTCCTGGTACGTAGTTGCATAGATAATCTAAAATGTAAAAAACAATATTTGCATTAAATTTTTTATAAAGCGTTAGGGTTTTTTTGCCTTGAAAAATTTCCAGAGAAACTACTTTGTCGTTAAGAAGGTCACAACTATCACTTGAGTAATTTAGCTCATCGATCATATTAACTTACGAATCTTAGAGAACTTTAAAGTTGGAAGGCGCACAAATTCTAATAAAATGAAATGGGCCAACCAACTCAGCTGAATCCTAAAGATAGCATCAATAGCGGCGTGGGCCGGTATACATTGTATAGTCTGTTAACGTTTACCTTTAGTTCCACCCTAAAAGTTATAAACTTATTTAAGATAACTAAATTATAAACATAAATTGTTTTAGTTTTTCCTTAAATTTTTTAAATATGAACCATTGTTAAAATGGGCAACTTGCCAGGGTTTAAAGCTTATAAACATATAAAAACGGGTCATACTTTTTTTTCAAATATGACATAATATGCACTGAATAAAGGGGTAAAAAACATCTGAAAGCCTTGCTACTAATCAAAGAAAAAGGAACTTAAAGCATCTTAAAGCAACCTAAAACTAAGTTTAAGCGTTATGCAGTGCTAGGAAGGTTATTATTCTTGTTAAGCGGGAGACACTGAAGTTTACCTTAATACCATCACTGTTCGGCATAACTTTAATATATTTATATAATAATTTCCACTACGTTGGCTTGTGAATTTTAGTGTTACTTCTCTCGCAATTCTAACTGTTGTGTTAGACTCAAGACTTTATAGGACTCATGGGCGTTCATTACTAAACTTAAACACCTCTCCAGTGACAGTATTCTTAAGTCGAATGCTGCCCTTACCTCTAAGCCTCTCCTGGTGTTTCATGCTTGTTGACAATCCTACTCTGAGCCCGTCAATTTTTATTAACCTCAATGAATTATTATTTTATTTCATGTCAATATCCATTTGATTTATTAGCCTCCCGTGGCTCGTTTTTGACAAACATTATACAAAGAGATTTACAGCTTGAGCTTGAGCAAAAGGTTTCCTTTCAAGACACTAAATGCGATTTAAAAAAATCTTTTCGAGCTACCATACTTTAATAACTATAGAACTTATTCGTAGCCAGTCCCTTTTCCATCGTTAATATGACTCCTTCCGTAATTTTTTGACCTATTGATATCTTTTGATATATAATCCACCTTGCTATTACATTTTTTTAATTATATTTCATCTCTACTATATCTACTATAAATTTTTTGTCCCTATTTGTGTTAATAGGTTTAGCCCACCTTTGGTAGCGTCAATTTCTAAATAAGTTTTACGCTTCTGCCCAACCATATCTCAATAAGCTCTCGCAACCTTTATGCATTTATTTTAGATACACCTACCGCTTACTGCCCCACCGTTTTTTTTTAACTTTTTTTTTTTTTTCCAGCATGTGTATTATAATCAAATTATTAAACAATGCGCTCAGTCACTACTTTCCTTAGTATTGAGTACGTAATCTTTTTTACCGGCTTTAAAGGCCTTGTTTTTTCTATTTAAACCTTTTCTCAAGGGCACCTTATTAGTGTTTTAAAAGTTTAACTGCATATTTATTAAAGTAGTTAAATGTATTTAATGCTAATGACTGTATTCTGTAACTCTTTTTCCTTCTTTATGTTCTTAAAATACTCGCTATTTAATAAACCTAACGAGCTTTGTGAGCACTTTTTATAATAAACCGCTAGTTACTTGGTCTAAGTGCTATTTACTGACCTATTCCCTGTATAAATATCGAAGTTCTCAAAGCAACCATCTTTTCGGGTCTTTTTAGTGCCGGCAGAGCACGTCTTTTTGTTTGATTTAAAAAATATGTGGGTCTACAAATTTTATTAATTATGCGTATAATAGTAGACCATGCCTTATCTTGTTATTGCAACCACTTAAATTAATCCTCTCTAAGAAAATATTTTAAAATTCCAAAATGTTCCTTTTTTAATTAATTCTTTGCACCAAGAAAAATTTTGTTAGGTTTTCTAATTACTTTTGGATTTCTTGAGTCCGCAGACTTATACGCGAGCTAAAAACGCTAGACCGTCTAAGGCGATTAACTGGACTTTTCTGTAACGCACCAAATGTAACGCCACTTCTATGATGACTGGGCGTTGTGTGTATGAAAAGAATATTTATTAGATAAAGAACGTGTACAACTTTATTAAATATGAGACAATGAAAGAAACAAACAGTATAGAAGAACGACAAAACGGGCAGACTAAAAAAACACAAACAGAAAAAAAGATCACTAGAACATAATAAACAGATAATATGAGAAGAACAGATCAGAAAAGAGCCTAGCAAGAAAGGGCCCAGACCATGAAGAAAATAAGGACAACTCAGGTTTCTCCTCGGACGTGTAAATGGTGTATGTACTTTTAAAATTATTGACCTAAAATGGAAAATAACCACCCTAATCTAATTAGTGTTAGAGAGCATAACCTATAGAAGCGATGGAGCTGGGACTCACATTTTCATAACATTAAACTTTCCTATCCAGAATTCACCTTGCTCGCCCTTATTCCCTATCTAACCTTTACCATTAATTCTTACTCTTGAGAGGCAACGAGAACTTGAGTATTATACAAATATATTGTTATTATATTTGAGTCCTACAGTATATTAAAGGGATACCTACATAGAAGGAAAAACTTTACTCACTAAACCCATTGAACCTTTTTGGTATGAGCATACTGAACGCCAATACTTCTTGAAGTTATTTCTTCTTGACAGAGCTTGTATCTTTAGGGCACTATCGGCAGAAACTTGAAGTAAAAAGCAATGCCTTTAATGAAGCTTTAAATAAGATATCCCAGTGTAATGTGGTGAAACCTATCATTTATAACTTGAAAAAAAAATCGAAAGTTATGCTCCTGTTAGCAACACAAGTTGTCGCCTAACTTCCTTCAAACTTTTAATGCAATTTATAATTGTGAACACCTAATTTTCCTTTAAAAATTATTCTATAGTTAGCTTGAAGTTTCAGTAGACACCTTTGCTATTAAGATGCTTACAGTAAAAATTTAAAAAATTGAAGAGCTATGAACACCTCGTATGTGTCTTGTAAACCCGATTTATCTCTCGGTGTATGATAGTTATTTAGATAACGACATGACTTAAAAAGAGAAGTCAGTTATAAAAGGTAGCCACTTTACTGTTTTTTTTAGCCAAGTGCCCGTAAATTTACCGACTTTATATTTACCTTTTAGGTTAAGCTACATGTTTTTACTATGAAGCTTTAAGAAAGCGTGTATGTAATAACTGGTACACATTCTGTGTAGTGCACTGCTTACTAATTGACAAGGCTACCCTGTCACTGTTTTTGACTTGTCCTTTTGTCCGTAAGTCACTCGTAGGTTACTGATATGCGATAGTTTTCTATTTAGCAGCTTACAACTGTACAGCATTACACTTGCAAGTACCGTTTTTATAAGCAAACTTATAATATTTAATATACTTATATGACTATTTGAATTACCGTTTCTTTAAATTGTTTAATTTTTTTATATTAATATATTTAATAGGAAACTTAAAGTAATAGTTCTTTCTATAAGAAAATATAAAAAAGTATCTTTTTAAAACATTTTTTTACCCTGGGGCATAAGTTTTATAAAAGTACTGCTAAAACATAATAGAGCAAGTACTATAGTCGCCAGTTTATTAGTATTTAATGAGAACCTGTCGCATAACAATGAAGTTGACGCCAACACATTGATTTGTAGAGAAAAATTATAATTTTCTAGTTTGAACAATTTTCCTTTTTGGTTATTTGCGGAGTAGTTAAAATACAGAATGTTGTAAAAACCTGAATATTGCATAAAGTTTTATAGTCTATTAAGTTATCTATTTGCTAAAAACTTTATAGTTATTTGGTTAGGTTTAAAAATTCTCCGCGGTTTGGCATTCTTGCGAGCATTTATAACGCTCTTAATTAGTTATTGTAATCAACTTGCCTGATTTGATAATAGAGCAATATTTGAGGAACTATTAGCTGGTTTATCACGACGCTAAAAAAAAGTATACTAAATTGCATGTTAATCTTGCAACATTTGCCACGACTGTAAAGGGGAATATTTTATATTTCATTGAAAAATATTTTGTTTTTGCATTATTGCTGTTTGATTTACAATTATTGAAATAACTCTATCTTTATGTATGCGTCTAATAAAATACAACTGTTTTTATAAATGATATTAATTTTTGCTATAGACTTTAAATTCGGGCTTTTATTCACTAAAAAGAGTGTTTATCAATTGGCCTTTTAAAAGGGAGTACATTATATAGAGCATTGAGGTTTGAGGAGAAACAAAGAACAGATACAGTAATGATAGATATTTTTTTAATTGACTAAAAAATGTCCTTCACGAAGACAGATCTTAGAACCAACATCATTGCTCTACTGAGTAAATAGGTTTTATTTTTGGCAGCCTCTAAGAATGTGAGTGACTTTACCGTGGAGTGTTTTATAAAAGTTCTACTTTAAAGGAGTTCGACAACGTTTAATGTATAGTGGAGTACTGCATATTGAATAAAATAGTCAGTGTTATAAAAGCCTCGGTTGTATTTATACCGCTCCACCGCTTTTATTGTGGTTAGCCCCATTATAAAACACATACCGAAGAATTACATGTAGTTTAGCTTAAGAGTTTACGGTACCTTTATTACATTAAAACTATAAAGTAATTGTAAAGACAACGAAAGCTTTTATCTACTAGCGCTATGTTTGCTAAAACTAAAAGACTTAGACTTAGAAATACGCCACTTCCCTCCATTTTACAACATTGCAACGCAAACCCAATTAAACTTTTAGTAACGAAAGAGCACAGGGTTCTACATTATTATAAAAAGTTGCCTTCTTTTAATATCTTAAAACCCTTAAAAAATAGTTATTAAATCCTGTAAAAAATACACACTGTACATGTTTATTACTAGCATTATGAATATGTAATCGTGATAACCCCTATTATAAAAAACCAATTACGTTTGCAAGATAAAAACTATCCTAAAAGACCACACGATCAGATCATTGTATGCAGATGTATATATATAAAATAAGCGACAAACCACTACAAGTTAGCCCTGTTATGCATTATAACTGCCCAGAAAGGCCTGAGCTCCTATTTTCGTAGTTTAAGTTTTAAAAAGTTTCATGGTTTTTAAAAAGACTGAAAAACAGAAAATTTGAATGTGCATATAAAAGATAAGACATAATAAGATAGACGGCTAGCTCCACAATAAGAATTCTCTTATACTTGAGCTGATAAACGTTAAAAGTTAAGTTATTTGCTAAAAAAGGCTTTAGTGACTGTCGCGAGGTTCAAAGAAAAGCACTTGACACTTTAAATGTGAGCAAGGGAACCTGGTAACTTTTAAACTCAATAGGTGAAAATAAAACTTGAACGAATTGTTACCATCATATAAAAATAATGCAAAGTAAAAAAAAAGTAAAATATTTTAAATGACAAAAAGCAAAGAACCACTACCCTTCACCTAACCACACTAACCATTAACAAAAACGAATTGTTCTCATACATATAAAAATAATGCAAAATAAAAAAAAATAGAAAAATATCTTAAATAAAAAAAACAAAAAACTACTGCTTTTCACCTTACCGCACTAACCATTAACAAAAAATGACCAATTAAAAAGTACCATTGCTTATGTAGAGCAAAAAGCACAGGAAACCTGACTTTTAAAACGCTTATTTTTACCCAAGACAAAGCAGGCGTGAGTTTCTAATTAAAAAGTGACATGTAAATTACAAAAGAATCAACAGAACCTGGTTAAGGGAAAATAAAAAAAGGGCAGACACCATTATAAACCTGTTAAAATTATTTTACTGTATAAAAACACAAATACTAGTTTAACTTTTTAAGATGAATAATTTTGGTAACATTAATATTAAAGATGCTATTTTTTATAATAAAATAAAATTTATAAGCGATATAAACAATTTCATGATTAATCTGAGTGTTATTAAACAACGCAAAAATTAGGTATTATCTGCAGTCTATAAAAGAGCAAACAGCTTGGGAACTTTACCAATTTACAGTCAGTGTCATTAAACGGTGGTAACTTACCGAAAAAAATGCTACATCAAGATCTAGCCAGAATTTAGTGGTTTTCTATTATAGTTTGCGTGATGTATTTTTTATTTGCAAATTTAGGTGATGAATAGTCGGCTGGAGCCTAAACTGGGCTGTTACGAATATGTGTGGTCACTGGTTATTAGTTTTAGTTTTTACACTTTTTTCCGTGGGGATAGTTCTGGGCGATGAACCGCTTCCTGAGTGCACCTTGCTAAATAACGGTTGTCCAGAAGGGGACTGCGTCTTGTAAGTTATGTAATCTTGATACTTTGGTAATGCTTTAAGAGTTTTTCTAGTTTACTAAGAATTTACTTGCATTAACATATACCAATTGACCTCACTTAGCACTCTAAAGAATTATAAGCCATGTACTATTACTCACAGCAACTTTTTAGGGATTACAAATTCATCTGTATTGTAAGTTTATTATAAATATTTTTTACCTACTTAGTTTATTTTTTTGTTTGCAAAAAAAGCTTAGCGATATATATTAAAACTGTTTTGTTATTAACAATTTACTTTACCTTTAAAAAAAATTAGCTTAAGCGTTAGTAAAAAGTCTTAACTTATGAGTGGTGAACTATATATTAACGGTAGCTATAGTGGTTAGAAATAGAGTACACGGGTATGCAAAGTAAAAAGTAGCCTTAACAAGAAAGCATACGTATACTTTACGTTAAAGTCGGGTTGGTTTGACGATATGCCCTTATCATAGAGTGGCTCCGTACATGTATATCTTTTATTGATTAATAGCTGCGTCCGTTAAAGTAAAATACTTTGCTAATATATATATCCTTAAATTTTTTTGTATTTAAGATTGATACTTAATTATTTATATTAATATTAAGGAATATCCAAGGAAATATTAAAAAAATCGAAGAGAATGCTTTCAATGATTTCATTCATCTCACAAGCATGTTAGAACATTAATTTTTCACAAATTTGAATATAATCTTAAAACATTTTTTTAAAACGTTATTTTTGTAAAGACTTTTTGTTTTAAGGCGTTATTTCATTAACTTATAATATCTTTTAAGATACATGCAAAATAATGGATTAACTTCTCTCCCGCCAAAAATTTTTTCAAGGACTACAGCTTTACGGCTTTTGTACGATCGAACCGTTAAGTTTTTATATATATATATGAAATTTTTATTAAAAGGTGGCTGTCTTCCAATGAGCTTCAAACTATTGAAGGAGGCCTTTTTTCAACTCTTAATAGTTTGCAGTATCTGTAAGTAGTTTTTACTTATAATTTGAGTTAAACTATAGGTCATTAAAAAATAGTAAAGTAATTATCATTTTAACTTTAGGAAATATATTAATAGTTATTGTCCCCCATTTTTTATAACTGACTTATATGAATTTTCTTTTAGTTATCTCAATAAAAATAAAGTCAGTTTTATTGGAAAAGATGATTTTCGCGGACTATTTAGCTTAACTTCTCTGTACGTCCAATTTCTATATACTTTTGTAAAATTCGTATATAAGCGTTTATACAGGGCAAGCAAAATTTTCAGTATTATTTGAGTGCACTTTTAATTTTGTTATTATAGGGAACTGAAAGCAAATTGTATAAGTTCTATTGAATTAAATGCATTTCGTCATCTTTCTTCCTTACGAACACTGTAATATTGTTTTTTTGCTTACATGATGAAATTTGTGTTACTAAATACATATATAATAGATCTCTAGTTATTTAGCTTTCCTTCTATAATACGACTACTTTGGCTTATGTACACTTCCCCCTTAATTTCTTTTTTTTCTACCCTAATAGACTATTTTTTTATGTTAATAATAATAAATTTCTATTAAACAACTTAGTAAATTGCTTCAGAATTGTTTAACAGTACTCCCCCCAAGAATGTTTGCTGGCTCTAACCAGTTAAATTACTTGTAAATATTTTTTAAAAAAGATCTCAGTTTATTATCTATTATTGACGGCTCGGTTGTTTTTTAAGGGAGCTTTCTCATAATAACATCTCTTCAATTGGAGACGGGGCCTTTTTAGGTCTTGAGAACTTGGAACACTTGTGAGTTTTAATCTTTGACTTCAGTTTTTTCTCGAATACTTTTTTCAATAACTTGCTTATTTATTTATTATTAGTGTAACAGTTTTTCACAATAGATACTTGAATGATAACGGCCTCACCGAGCTAAACGAATATAGTTTTTTAGGCCTCTTATCCTTACTTACATTGTGAGTTTTTTTACCTTATATTTTGAACGTCGTTGTTTTTTTTTACTAAAAACTCTTTTCAGACAACTCTCTTCTAATCTGCTAACGAGAATTCCACCGGTCACTTTTACACATTCTCCCCATTTGAACGAGTTGTAAGCCTTCCGCTCACTCTTCTTTACTTAAGATATTCAGTAAAATTTTTATTCTTCTTCAACTTTGCTTAGGATTTTACATACAAATCCAATAACGCATATCCCCCCTAATGCATTCCTCTCTACTTTTGATCTGAGAAACTTGTACTAAATTTAGAAAGTAAAAAAATTTATCGCAAATGACAACTATTTTTTCCAGGGTTTTAACCCCCACCCTGCAGTTTTCCTGCTGCGCGATAGTAAGGCTTATAATTGGTCTGCGTTCTGGGTTTTCTGACCAATCTGTGTTTTCCCACTGTACATACGATGAAAAAACCGTGATTTTCAGCTCATTTTCATTTGAAAATTGCTATAAAGCAAAGGATGGCGGAAAACTTCCTAAAGAGATCGACGAAGATCCTATCGAATACACAAACTACCGAATTGCAAATAATGAAATTCCTATGGAGTTGAAGGAATATCCAAAAAGACAAGATGTTCCCCACGGACACCGAGTCAATCCAGATAATGCTGGTACCCCTGAACCTAAGCTTCGTCTGGATGCCACTAATCAGCAGGAACAAAAAGAAAACGATAGTACTGAAAGAGATCCTAAAATCGGCAACTATCCTCTCAAAGAAAGTTTAAAAAATGTACTAGTAGATAAATTAAGTTTTTCAGGGGCCGCCCACTCCTTAAAAGAAAGTGCTTTTGCTTTAGTTACAAAAGGCTACTTCATTCTGGTTATGATTATATACTTGTTTTCATAGCAGTAGATTGGCAATAAAAACATCGTATATATGTTTTTTTATATTGCAGTAACTTAATAAAAAGTTTTTCATGAAATAATTGCAGCCAAAAAGTTATCAGTGCGGTTTTTATTAGTTACTTAAAGAACGCACGATGCGTAATTTGCGTAACAATTATTGCTTAAAGGCTGCAAAGACAGGTGTCATGCCCTGTAGGAAAAGAGTTAGATCACATCGCGTATATAAGAAACCTAGGGTTAAAAAGTTATGGAGTTTACTAGGAGAATTATAGCTGGCTAATATTTTTATGTTTAATTAGAGCAACTAATAGCAATCTTCTAGGTATAACCTTGACGCAAAATTTTTCTGGGTTTCTTAGAACAAGTAACGCTTTAATAAAAAGGTCAACGCCTTATACCTATTGTTTTTTGGATTAAATAGGTTACTGGAAGGGAGCTGAGAGTCTACGAAGACGAGAGTCAAAGTAGTAAGAAAAAAATTAAAAACATTATTTAACCTACTTTCGATTTAAGAAAATCAAATAAAATTATATGCAAAAAGAGCTATTTTGAAATTCCTAGTAAGCTGTAGGTAAGTTTATCCACCCGAGAAGCAAACAGCAAAATTAAGGTATCAGTAAGTTTGCTAATTTTCGAGGCTTCCAAAGAAAAAATATCCACTTTAGTTATCAAAAATAAATTTTTTCCGCTTTACTTTGCACTGTATTAGTTTTTTAATTCTGTAGATGCTTGTTAATTTAATAAACTACAATCTAATTGTTATATAAATTCGAAACTGTTTTAATCAACGGTTCAGAGAAATGGTTTTCTTTTATTAAGTCCAGTAAAGTAACATTGTAAAAGTTTACTAAGTAGTAGTTTCCAACTGTACTTATTAAGATAATAAAAAAAAACAGATGCACGGGTTACCGTTATTTCGATAATATCTTTGCTTTTCCCTCTGGCCTGCTAATTGGCTAATAAACTAATAAAAAAGAAACGAGTAACAAAACAGCCTAAAGAAAGATATATATTAATAAAAATCTAGATATAAACCTTTTATTATATACATTAAATAATAAAAAGCGAGTATACTCACTAGTTTTTTTTTCCCGCTTTTTGTAATGATTAATTAAGATCGAGTATATACCTTCCCTTTAATCTAGAAATAAACAAAGTTGCTTGGTCGCTTACTTCAATAAGACAATTTCTTATAAAAACTTGAAGCCATGTGTTTTTTTTAACGTTTTTATGTTAAAATTGGCAAGCTTAGTTCCAAACACGTGCTTTTTGACTATCAATTTTATTAACTTTTAGTCATGGAGGTCGATTTTTGTTAATTGCGTGGAATATTACTCATATACGCGAAATCCGTTATCAAAGTGAGCAAGTCTGGATCGTCTGCTGCATGTTTTTAGTGGCCAGCAAAGCTTCAATTTTTACCAAATTCGCTTTCTAAACAGCTAGAAGGAAGCCCCCTAGTCGTTAATAAGAGTGCCTGTCGAGTTCACATCCACCATGCGTTGCCACTCACTCAACCCGCTGTTCACTAAGGTTCCTCCGGGTCTCTGCTTTCATTATTGTTTTGCACTATATGCATGTGAAATTCCACCAGAGGTCTACGATACCTTGTCACTCGCTAAACTTGCAGCCTATAAAAAACCGCAGGAGAGTTCACTTTTGTTGTCTTTTTAATCTTTCTGTATGCAATATCTCCCCCTTTAATTACAATCGAAAAAGCGTGTTACTCACTCAGCTCACTGCCCACAGAAACTCCTGAGGATTTCTACTTTCTTCGTGGCTATTACAGGTTTTTTTATTTATTTATTTATAAATGACAGTTCCTGTTCTCGATCGAGTCAAAAAACTTCGAATACTCGAGCTCTCAATCAGTAGTGATAGCATACTTATTACAAAATAGCTTTCAATCGACAAGGTGTCATTATTTACTTGACATTAACTAACCGAAACTAGCGCTTATTCTCGTCACGTAGGCGGGGATAACGTGCCGCGTCCATTGACTCATAAATAAATTCTCTCACCATGAGCTGATTAGTGCCTAACTTACCTGTCGTTAAGAGCCTTTGCGTTGCATTTGTTTTGTTACAATTGAGGTGCCGACGCCTATTGCAGGTGGAGTATAGGACCAGGCAGCAGAAGCGCATGTCGTTATTGGCTGGATGTAAGCCATATACTATTCCCGTTTCTTTGCAGAGAAAGCTTGGTCTTGCCACATAGTCTAGGGTAAAGCGCATTAGTTGCTGCCCTTACCGGTTTTTCATGTTTTACAAATTGTTTTTATATGTACCACGTGATCCGGACCGGAAAGCGTGAACAGCATTATAGAAAATATAGAAAATCGAACTAATTTCCTGTAAGCTCCTTAATCATTTATGTATCTTTTGTTAAATTCTTCTTGGCTTAACTTAATTAGCAGTTACTCAGTTGTTTATAATTTTGATTAATATTAGACTTAAGTAAAGTAAAAAAGTCGGTACAAAGCTTTAATTTAAGTACTTAGGCTTCTTGCTGTTACATTCACAGAGGCTTCAGTTTTTAAATTATAAAAAACAAAAGAAATCTTAAATTTATATAACGCTTAGAGATGGAGAGAGAAGTTGGTCGAGGTGAACTTTTAGTTATTATTATTGTGAATCATTCAAATTTATATTTATAAGATTCAGATGTTTCGAAGGAACCGGTCTTAGATAAATTTTTAAGTTCTGACTCCGTAAATATACATAAAGGTGTAGTTAAAGTTAAAGTTGAATATCTTTCACAGGTATATAATAAGCTTATTGATAATAATATAAATTCGTAGTGTAAAAAAACTTTTTTATTAGTCTGAGTTCTCTCCTGAAGAATGTGTATATCTTAGTGAGCGACTACGCGGTCAAAATAAAAAGAGGTTTTATACTGGAATATGTCAAATACTATAAGTTTATTCTTTTTTTTTAGGAGGTATTTTAAAACAATATTAATAAACATTAATTTGTAAAATAGAATTAAACCTTGATAAATATAAACATAAGTGTATAATATGTATTATTAACAACTATGAAAATATAAAAGGGTCGGATTCACCAAGATTGCTAAAAACGAACAACTTTGCAACTCTGTTTCGAGAGGAAAAGTAACTTTCACATATTAAATTTTTATAAATTTTTTTTTTTTACTTTTTTTCCCGTTAATCTTAGTCGGTCTTTAGTGTAATTTATACTAATTTATTTTTATATATTTATATATGTTTTAATCCTTAAAAATTACGTTTTTGTTATAGTTTGTTACTTTTACAGTGCTTGAGTTTTACTTATATGAAATTAATTTTTATATTTACATCTTAATGATCCCTTCAGTTTTAGTAATACTTTTTCTATCGTTATTTTCTGTATTCTAAAATTGTCGTAACTCTTTATTAGAACTTTGCTAATAATAACTGATTTTCTGAATAAACTTAGTAAAATTTTTAACTGTAGATTATAGAGTATAGTAGGCTAAAGCAGGTGCGAAATAATATATTTACTGGTAAAATCATTTAATTATTAAGGAAAAGTGAAAGCTTTTTCCTTTTTATTCGTGGAAAGCCTATTTAAGTTCACTTTTTTATTTTCTTTGTTAATCAGCACCAATCATATTTAGTAAACGGGCTAGTAGTTTATTATTATTGGCAGGAAAAAATATTAAACTTTGTTAACCAATTAGCGTCTTCTAAATGCGCGGAAGTTTTTTAATCGACTTATTTGTTTAAATTTCCACACGGCCGGTTTAAAATTATTTTTAATTATCAATACTTTTCTTGAAAAAGGATCTATAATTTTTTAAAATATTCAAAAAAAGTAGGTTTCTCTCTTATATAATTCATAATTATATCGAAAAGTTTGTAAAGAAACTTTTATTGCCCGCAGACCTGCACGCTTCCCGCTTGCAAGTTTGAACACAGCATTGAAAGATTCTTCGCGGAGAAGCCAGAAGACCTCGAGGGCCTATGCCCCAGCATTGGCCTATACGGTGTTCTATAGTATTTTAAACCTATTATTATAACTCTTAATGTGTAAAGTTACACTTTTTATAAGAAAAACCTTTTTATCCAACTTTTTGAAACTTCCTTACTATATATCTAAAGTTTCTTATAATTTATTTTTGCAACGTTCCATAATAGTATATATATGCATAACTTTGCTTGTTATTATATTTCAAAAAGGGAATTGCCCGTTTGGCCTTTCATGCAGGTTTTATTCTTCTCATTCTGAGAATGAAACATTAATAGAAGAAAGTTATTATTATTACTACTCATAAGTATATTTATTATTATGAATATATCTTTTAAGAAAAAGGTTTTTCTGTGAAACCGCCTGACGTTAAAAATTTGATTACCTTTGAAGTTCAAAGTTTGCTTCGAACGCGTCGTTACAATTTTGAAAGTTCTGCTAAAATACTTCAAGCGATAAAAAAAGGAAATTTAAAGTTTTTATCATTATTTTTTATTATATTTTAAACGATAATAACAAAAATAAGCAGAAGAGGGTTTTAGTGAAAGCGGAGTTCTTGAGGAATGCAAGGAGGAAGCCTTCAACGGTGATTGGTTAAAAGAAAGATTAAATAACTCTGCGGATGTTTTTCAGCCTTTAAGGTTTATCGTTTTTTTTATTATAACTTCTCTTACTGCTTCACTAGTAATAATTAGCTTTTTGTATTACAGTATTATTTTTATTATATTCTTATAAAAAAATTACTTTATTTTTTGTTTTATTTATAAAAAATTTAAACTGATGTTTACTATTAAGAAAAAACATGGTTGTAGTGGAAAATTTAGGAAAAGATTAATGTTATAGTTTATAATATTATTTTTATGTCACAATCATTTTAATATATGAATTTTATTGAGTTATATATCAAAATTTATACATCTAAACATTTTCTTGTACTAAATTTTTCTTTGATAGAAATTCAGAAAAAAAGAAGATTGACATTTCTGGGAAAACTTTTTTGGCGCCATTGACAACTGTTGGGAATTTGCCGTTTAGAAGAATTTGTAAAGTAAATATTTTATTTTTTATTTTTAAAGTTTATCTTTCCTACTTTACTTTTTTATACTTTAGTAACTACTAGCATTTGAATTTTGCAAACTTTTATTATTATTTTCTACATTTTTCATATTTTTATAACTTCTTGTATTTTTTATTTTTTATGTGTGGAACCAATTGCAGAGCTAGAAATAAAAAACCCGGACAACTTCTAGAATAGTGAGAAAAAGTAATGCACCATTTGTCATTAGTTTTAATGAATTTACTTGAAATCAAATTGAGTTGGGTTGTGGTAGTGATTGTGAGAAGATTTATTAGAAATTTTATTGGCCAAAAAACTCGGCGGCATTATAGAGTCACGTGTAAGCGAAGTAATATATGTTTCTTTAATAGCTTAACCCACGTGGTTAAGGGGAACGTACTAAAGAAAAAAATTTAGGAATATAAATTATTTATAATAATTGTGAAGCTTCGGAGCAGCTCAAAAATAGTTTTTATAAAAATGCAGATGATGGGAACTTGTAAAAGTCACGTGGGTTATTCACTAAGTATGGTCGTCTATGGCGGGGCTGGATATCCACCGCCATGGATTTCTCAAGGGCCTTCAGAGGAAATCTTTAGAAGATAACTTTTTTTTAGATACTAATAAGACATATACTGAAAATTAATAGCTCGTAAATTTTCTATCACGTGAATACTTCCATTGAGTATTACTATTGATATGCTAATAAATATATAGCATTGACTATATTAAGTCAAACTTACTTTACTTGCTACAAATCTATTTTAAGGGTGATACCATTTATACTTTTTTATAATT